AAGTCATAGGGTAAATTTACTGCTGTCTATGAGATGATGATGTTTTCATTCCAGGTTAATTGCTCGAAATATTCGAAATCCAGGTCATTTTTTTAAAAAGTCTTTTTAAAAAAGCTTGACGACCCGTTTTTTTATCAAATGTCCATGAAATTTAGTTTTGGCGATGGCTTGGACCTTTCAAATGATCTATGTTGGGTTTTATTAAGAGAATTACATCTTTTTCAATAACTTTGAGGCCAAATTTCACTATTTTTCGATTCTTCGAAGCCTTAGTATGAAGTTGAAAAATTTATGGTTTTTGGGTAAAGTTAAAATCAGATTGCGACGCCTTTGTCCATTTAAGGTCATAACTTGGCAATTTTGGTCAAAATTAATTCATTTTTGCACAAAATGTGCTTGAGAAGTGTACCTTTATTTCAACGGTTAAATGGTGCCTGTAAGTCTAGTCTAACTGACGCAATTCAATTCTAAAAAATTAGTGACAAACTTTATCGGTCATACCTTATAAATGTAACAATTGTGTTGTTTGTGTCTTTTTGTAACAACTTTTAATACAAATTATTGATTCTATTTCGCTCTTTAACAGTGTTGGGTTTCCATTAAACGTATTAATAAATACCTTCGAGGAGAAGAAATTGATCTTTCTCTTGTTGGTCACGATCACGATAAAGACACTCCTATCTCAATCAAATCGGCATCATTCACTTGGTCGTCCGACGAATCTCCTGTTTTAAGAGACATTGATTACTCGTTTAAAAAAGGATCTTTAGTGGCTATAGTTGGTCCAATTGGAAGTGGCAAATCATCGTTACTTTCAGCCTTACTTGGCGATCTGTTTAAACTATCGGGCGAAGTCAATGTTACCGGTAGTTTGGCTTACATTCCTCAAACAGCTTGGATTCAAAATGAAACTTTGAGAAGAAACATTACCTTTGGACAGCCTTTCATTCAAAATAAATACGACAAGGTTCTTGAAGCTTGTGCACTGGTTCCAGACTTAAAGATATTGCCTGGCGGTGATATGACGGAATTGGTGAAAGAGGAATCAATCTTTCAGGAGGACAAAAACAGCGAGTCAGCCTGGCTCGAAGTGTCTATGCAGACTCAGACATTTATCTGTTTGATGATCCTCTAAGTGCTGTTGATGCTCATGTTTCCAAGCATTTATTCACTCATGTTATTGGTCCTAAAGGGATGTTGAAAGATAAAACTCGTGTTCTGGTTACTCACAGAATTACATTTTTACCTCAAGTTGACCACATTATAGTTTTAAAGGACGGAGCTATTCACGAACACGGCACTTATAATGATTTAATTGCCAAAAAGGGTGAATTCGCCGATTTTGTGGTTCAATATTTAACTGAATGTGAACTGGAACAAGAAGAAATCGATGAAGATCTCGAAATGTTGGAAAAGATAAAAGAAGCCGTTAAACCCGAGCTCGAAAGACGCATATCAGCAGCCATGTCAGAATCAAGTGAAACAGACAAGCCAAGTCGAAGACGAACACTTACTTCAAGTCTAAGTCGAAGATCAATAGCATCAAACGGATTGAAAAAAGAGGACAAAGACAAAAAGGAAAGATTCGACAGAAAACAAGGCGATGAGGCCAATTCTGGCAAACCTACTGGAGGTGTTCGCGATAAATCAAAACTAATTGAAAAGGAAAAGGCTGCCACCGGATCTGTAAAAGGTCGCGTCTATTTAGACTATTTCAAAGCCATTGGTTATGGCATGTGTTTCCTGGTTGTTGCGTCTTTTGGTACCTCAAACCTATTGACGATTGGCCGCAATTTGTGGTTGACTGCTTGGGCTGATGACTCGCTAGATCCCAATAATGCAAACAACACTCACCTTCGAAACATTCGACTTGGTATTTACGCTGGTATTGGTGGAGCTGAGACCATATTCACAATGGCCAACAGTTTACTTTTGAACATTGCTGTTCTCACTGGATCCAAGTTGATTCACGATCGAATGCTTGACAGAATCATTAGAGCTCCAATGTCCTTCTATGATACAACACCTTTGGGTCGGATATTGAATCGTTTTACTGGTGACATTGATACTTGTGATTCAACCATTGGATTCAATATTCGAATGTTGATTTCTCTCGCTTTTCGTGGTACAATATCGATAGTTGTTATTTGCATGGAAACACCTTACTTCCTTGTTGTCATTGTTGCCATGACTGGAGTTTATTCACTCATTCAAATGTTTTACATTGCCAGTTCTCGACAACTTCGTCGAATTGAATCTTCTTCAAGATCGCCCATCTTTTCCCACTTTTCGGAAACAATTACCGGCTCTTCAACAATTCGTGCATACAATGCTGAGTATCGGTTTATCGAGGAATGTTATGATCGTGTCGACAACAACCAATCTTGCTCTTTTGCCAACTTAGCTGCTGGTCGCTGGCTGTCAACTCGACTTCAATTCCTTGGTAATCTAATTGTATTTACTTCGGCCATCTTTGCCGTTTCATCTCGTAGTCGTCTTAGTCCTGGTTTGACTGGTCTTTTTGTCAGTTATGCATCACAAATCACGGGAATATTGAACATGTTGGTTCGATCGGTAACCGATATTGAGACCAATATTGTTGCTGTTGAACGTTGCTTTGAATATACAAAAACTCCACTTGAAGTAAGTCTTAGCCCAATTAAAAAACTTTTGATTGTAAACTTTTTATTTACACAAAATATCTGTTTCTTTCAGGCTCCTGCAATAATTGAAACAAATCGACCTAAACCTACATGGCCTGATAAAGGTGAAGTCATCTTCAAAAATTATGTTACTCGTTATCGAGCTGATCTTGATCCAGTTTTACAAGACATTTCTTTGTCCATCAAACCAAATGAAAAGATTGGTATTGTTGGTCGAACTGGTGCTGGCAAATCATCGCTTACCCTTGCCGTTTTCCGAATAATTGAAGCTGTTTCTGGACAGGTCATTATCGATGGTATGGATATATCTAGCATTGGACTTCACGATTTGCGTTCTAGACTCACAGTTATACCTCAAGATCCAGTCTTGTTTTCTGGTAACTTCAGACGAAACTTTGACCCTTTAAACCAACACACGGATGCAGAAATTTATCAAGCTTTAGAGCAAGCTCATCTAAAGAAATTTGTTTCCTCACTGGATTCTGGACTTGATTATGATATTGCCGAAGGAGGTGAAAATCTGAGTGTTGGTCAAAGACAATTGGTTTGTTTAACTCGAGCTCTTCTTCGTAAAACTAAAATCTTGGTTCTTGACGAGGCAACAGCAGCAGTTGACGTTGAAACTGATGAGCTTATCCAGAAAACCATTCGAAGTGAATTTGCTGATTGTACAATTATTACCATCGCTCATCGACTGAACACAATTATGGATTATGATAGGATTCTAGTTCTTGATCAAGGAAAAATTAAGGAATTTGATACTCCAGCTAATTTATTGGCTGACAATCAATCAGTATTTTATTCAATGGCCAAAGAATCCAAATTGATCCAATAAAAGTTAAATCAATAAATGAATAGCAAAAATTAATGTAATCTAAGCTATTCTAATTAAATTAGTCAAATGTTCTATTTGCATCAATATAAATTCGCTTTTTGTTTTGATCGTTCAAAACGTTCAAATTTAAATTCAATAAGGACTCAAATGTGTACAAATTAAAATCAAATTGAATCAAATCGACTGATTTATTTGCCTTTTTTGTTGTCATGATGTATGATGTGCTGATTGAAAAATGCAATATAAGAAACTTGTAGAGCAAAGTTGCAGTTAGACGAGAATTGAGAGCTTCCATGGAAAGATTTATTTCATTTGAATAGGAATTCAAGAGAAGTCAAATTCGCTTGATTAAATATTTCGTAACATTTAAACAGTTTCGAGATAATTAGACAAGATAATTCCCTGTTTTTGCGTGATTTGTTGTTTACGATTGTAGTTCATTGTTTATAACAATCAGAAGTTTAATCATCTGAAATCGAAAACAATTTTCTTTTCAATTCTATTTTTATCAATTTTCAGCTTTTACGCCTTCTAATTAATCCTTTCAATTGTGTTGCTATCATGAGTGGATGATGCCCTGACCAAAATTCATATTGTTAATGATAGTTAAAATGATGATCATAATATGGGATTGGTAAACCTTTAACTTACTGTAAACACGATAAAATCATAGATCATAATTTGATTTAGCTTTTTTATTTCAATAAATTGACTTGGACTGGGAAAGTTATTTTATTAAACAGTTTCTGTTGGTGAGTTTCGTAAAATTACTAATTTACTAATTATGGGTCGAATTTCATTATTATGTTTTGCGGTTTGCTTCGTCCTCTTCATCGGTGTAGTTTGGTCTACTCCAGTTGCTGATGAGGAAGCTTTGGATGTACCAAGTGATTCAACTGCAGTGGTGTCAGAACACGTACGTATGAAGCGATGGGTCTGTAACAACTGGACCGGTGACTTTTTATGTGCAGGTTGGCCTGGTGCATGGAGATGCCATTGTGGAGCCAACTGTGTCAGAGGAGCCTGTACTTGTAAACACTGTTGATCTAACAATGGGCCATAATTAAATCATCTTTTGTTCATTAGTTATTTTCTTGGTTCATGAATTTTTCAATTCTCATTGACAATTATGCCTTTAAAGCTTTATTGTTTTCTGAGAAATTCAATGAAATAAAATGCTTGCAAACTTCAATACTTTTGTCTACAAAAATTTTTACAATAAAGTAATCCTAACAATCCGTGAGATTCCTCTGAACAAAGGTGTTTTTTTTATGAGTTTTTGGATATTTGCTAAGTAATTTCTGTAATTTTTCATTCGGTTCAACTTTTATTATTATCTTGGTTCATGTCTTCGTTCATGTTCGAGTTAATATTAGGCAAACTAGGTTGCATTAACTTATTAATTCGTTACTCTCAATTATCCCAATATTAGGTATCGATTTCATTTGCCTTTAAAAATAAAAGTCAAGATCACCAGAAAACCAGATCCTAGATTCACGATAATTTTAATATTATTCAAATCAATGAAGAATAAAATTTTGCATGACAAATTCAATACTCAAATAACATTTAAATGATAAATAATTCATGGACATTTCATTCTGATTTGTGCTTTATTGTTATCCATAATTAATCTTTTTTTTTCAAACCGTTGCTCCGAGTTGAACCTTACCAATCAAGATAAGTGCTAAAGCTAATATTTTTTCAACAAAAAAATGATTGATTTACTTCGATATTTCAAGTACTTATGAGTAAACATTTCTTGGACAAATTATGATATTTTATTTTGTGCATCAAATATCACATTTCAATACAAAATAATTGAGATTATACAAGAAAATTATCGTATTAAGTAAATTAATATTGAGTATATTTCCAATTCCATTATTAAAGACTTGTCATCAATTTTTCATCATTTAACTATTGCTTAATTATTTGTCATGCAGATGTTTCATCCTTCATTGAATTTGGTAAGACTAAATTAACTTAAACGTATTCATCCGATTTATTATTATATGTTAACATTAATCAAATGCAAACCATGTGAATCCATACTAATGATGAAATAATGCAGGATTTATAATAATTTTCCCAGTTCTTTATACATTGAAATGTATTGCCCTCTGTTACTGACAAAGCGCATCATCTTATTGATCATGAATGGTTCAGCTTGTTTCAATTCAGAATCTGTATTTCTGTTTGCTTTTCCCTATTGTATATTCAACAATATTGATTGCCATTGAGAAGGTGAAAATGTGAACCAAAAAGTTGCTTCAATTCAATTTAAACCCAAAATATAGCAATACATCTTATAATGAACAACAGTTGTAGGTATAAATTATGTTTGATAACAAATAGAGAATCTAGTTACAATGTTTACGATACATTCAAATCGAACCATCAGCAAATTACTTGATCAGATGTTTTTCAATTGTTCATCGATTCCTTTTATAATGACCATTTCATCGTGATTCCTTCTGTCATTACCGTTTGTTCAATCGTGTTCCAGTTATTTTACATATTTCATGTCGATAAACACATCGATTGGAAATGAATCTTTTGATTCCATTTAGAGTTGAAAGAAAAATGATTTGCCTCAAAAGCATTTTTGGCGATGAAAACATTAGCTTTACACGGATCTCGGTTATTCGAGTTTTCAACATTCTCCTTTTATTCACCTTCATCACCATTTTAATCAGTACCCTGTCCATTGACCTGTCAATTTGGACGCATTTCAAGTTATCCAACCTTATTGGTTCCCTCAGCAGATCTGCAACTCAGATCGATCCATTTGCCAGATATAACACTAATCAAGATGGACCTCAATCTAGTCGAAGGTACAAATATTCATCTCAACTCAACCTGTTATCCTGGTCGACTACAGAGAAACCTTGGTTCATGATTAATGGTACAATAACTCCCAACCCAAGTGACCCTTTTTCATCTCGTTTACCCATTTTCCCTGAAGAAGATGAACCATGGAACGATCGGATTGTTAATCAGCTAATGTACATCCCAGCAAACTACAACTCATCTAAACTGATGGAAGAAGGTGCTTTAAAGAAGATATTGTTGCTCGATAAAGGTTCATGGGGACGATCAATGCCTTCTGGTCAAAATGTTTTCCTCCAAGATTCTTGTCCTGTAAATACATGTGAAATTACATTTGATAATAAACATGCAACAACCGCTGATGCCATTATATTCAAGGTATTTTTTCTTATTTCATTTTCTGTCCAACAAAATAATCATTTTTTTGCACAACTTTGTCAATATTTCCATTTTTTTACCAACAAAAGGATCATTATGCTAAACCTAAACATGTTAAACCACCAAATCAAATTTGGATACTTTATATTCTTGAAAGTCCTCTGCATACACCTTCATTTCGAAGTCTAAATGATGTCATCAATTGGACTGCATCTTATCGCCATGATTCTGATATTGTTACACCTTATGAAAAGTTTGTTTACTACGACTCTGATGTTAAAGTTAGTTATCCAAATATTTGTTGAGAATCTTTACTTTGATTAACATCTTATATCATTTACAGGCTCATTCACAATCAACCAACTATGCTAAAGGTAAAACGAAAAAAGTTGCCTGGTTTGTATCAAACTGTTCAGCTCGAAACAAGCGACTCCAATATGCCCGGTCATTAGCTGAATATATTCAAGTGGACATTTTCGGAAGGTAAGAAACTTATTCAAAAAATTTTACCAAATGCTAGTTGGATTGAAAAATAATGAACTCAATTTTTTGCTCAAAATAATTTTATTCAGTTTCAGCTTTATAATGAATATTTGACAGATTTTAAAAGATTTTGTTTTCTTACATTTTCTATCGCATTTAGATGTGGATCTCTGAAATGTTCACGAACCAAAGCGGATGAATGCTTCAGTAAACTTGATAAGGAATACAAGTTTTATCTTTCCTTTGAAAATTCAAATTGTCGTGATTATATTACGGAGAAATTTTACTCGAATGGTTTAAATCATTCGGTTATACCCATAACAATGGGTGCTCATCCAGAAGACTATAAACGTTCAGCGCCTGCCAATTCATTTATTCATGTTGACGATTTTCCCTCACCTCACCAATTGGCTCAATATCTTGACCAACTGGATGCAAATGATACTCTTTTTAATCAATACTTCACATGGAAAGGATCAGGAGAGTTTATCAATACCTATTTTTGGTGTCGACTGTGTGCTATGTTACATGCACCCATCAAACCCAAGAATTATGATAATCTAGCCAACTGGTGGTATCCATCGTCTATTTGTAATTCAAATGATTGGCTTTAATTGTTGAGATTATCACAATTTAGTGAGATTATTAATGTTAAAACAACGAAATGCGCAACGGACCAGAAAGTCGTTTGCTTGAAAATGTATTAAATTTTTTACAGCTTGAATCAAGTTACTCTATCATGTTAATCATTTGGTTATAAACTATTGAATAAAGGAGGAAGGCCAAAACTGCCTAAGAAAGGAATTTTTTTGTTATGAACACATCAGATGCAAAAGTTTATACTGATTTCATTTATTCAATCCATTTTTTGGATAAATTTTTCGTTTTCGAGATATCATGAAAAAACGTTAGAAATTCATGAGAAAAGTACCAAAATAATGAAAGGTGAAACCAAGCTAAGGATAGATTTTTCTGATGTAAAATTCAATTTTAATTCTAATGATGTGATTCATTTTGATCTGAAATGACGCAAAACTGGCCATTTTTTCGATAATATGATTGTTTCGAAGATTTTTGCGATAATGGCCAGTTTTGCGTCATTTAAGATCAAAATAAATCACATCATTAGAATTAAAATTGAATTTTACATTATTAAATTATCCTTTTACATCAATCCTCCAGCGCTAAAGATAGACTGGCATCGGAAATACTAGGGATATCATCAATATTCTTGGATAACAGGTCCAGGGCAATATCTGTAAAAGCGGATACCTCTGCTGAACCAGAGGAGTCGGAAATCTTTAAAGTAAGCAGTATCTGATCAGATAAATCCGGGAGAGTATCGAGGCAACTCTCACACACAGGAACATCATGCTGGTAAATCTTTACACGACGACCACAGACAGTATGAGCCTTGTAAATGAAACCGCTACCAGAAACAATGACAACCTCCAAGTTGGTATATACAATCGTATCGTCCTGTAATGATTGGGGTAATGAGCTAACAAGAGATATTTCACCAAAAATACCCTAGATAATGAAGTAAAAGACACTGTAGATCCATGGCTGTCAAACCAATCTGAAAGAAGTACTGCCTCAGGAAGATCTGGATTTATGTCAACTGTGGCACATCCAGCAACAGATAAGATGAGGCCACAGCATTGTTGGGTTAGCCCGGCTCTCCTAGCAACAATTATGGAACCAATTGGTGGATAAAATCATCAGGAGATAGATTCCAAATAGATGAACGAATCTCTGCAGAGGAATCATCTTGAATCAAGACTGAACGGCAAGCTCCCTTGTGGACCAGGGTAACAAAAACACAGACTCCAATGACATCCACAACAGAACCAGGCGAGGAATTTCTCAAATGGGAAATCTTGGTAAAAGTAGAAGGTACGGCAGGATAATCGGTTTCACTGAAATTTAACTCTTCCTTCACAACACTATAGGGCTTAAGTGTAATCTCACGGAGATGATTAGTAGAATTAGAAGAATTAGAATCATTAGAATGAGAATTAAATTCTACATCAGGAAAATCTATTCTTAGCGTGGTTTCACCTTTGGTTCTTGTGACGCTCGTACCCATGAATTTTTCGTGTCTTTTTCATGTTTTCACAAAAACGAAAAATTATTTTGAAAAATGAATTGAATGAATGAAACCAGCGTAAAATTTTGCATCTGACATGTTCATAACAAAAATATTCTTCGCTAGGCAGTTTTCCCTATTCTTTCGGTCTTCATCCTTTGAAAAAATGTACACTTGTTAAGGCATTTTTTTTATTCACGCCTATTTGCATCCATAACTTTTGAAGAGTTGCTACAGATCTGAGATTTAAATATAAGCTTTCGAAGATTGGAGAACCACATTCACCTCTAATTGACATTTAAAGATCATTTTCTGATAGTAAAAAATTTTTGGATCGATCAGTGTTTGTTAGATGTTCATAACTTATACTGTTCAAAGGATATGAGTGTTTCCATACCGTCCAGTTGATCGATTGGTTTGGATGAAAATTCGGTTATCTTTTCAATGTTGAGAGTTATGAACATCTAACAAACCATGACCGATCTTAAAAATTAACCGTTTGTGAAATTGTAAATTTGTAAAGTGTATTTTTGATTGTATTTATTTGAAGAGTTTTTGACAAAGGAAATACTTTTGTCTTTCAACTAACCGAAATTTTGAGCAAAAATTTAACTGATTACAATTTGCTATGTCTACTGTTAACAGCTAACTTGCAATTAAAGTATCGCTCAAACTATTATTTGACCTCTATTGACACTTGGAGGTCATTTTCTGAGAGTACAAATTTTTTAGATCTGCCAGTGTCTGTTATTTGCTCTAACCATTGAAAGATACCCTAAATTTCAACTAATTGATTCACTGATCGTTTTGGAAACACTCATATTCTTTAACCAGCATAATTTATGAACATCTAACAAACACTGACCTCAAAAATTGTAATCTCAGAAAATGGCCTCCAAATGTAAATTAAAGCTCAAATAATGGTTTAACCTTGAATGACAGTTCGAACTAGTGCTTGTGCGAAAGCTCATGTTCCAAGTCTGAGGTCTGTAGCAGCAACCGTTCATGAGTTATGCCTGCAAAAATGCGTAAAATGCAATAAAGGTGTTAAAATGATTGAGATTGAACATTGAAACTAGATTGCGACTTGATTTATTAAATATTGTTATTGTTAATCTGAATCTGACCATTTGGAATCTGGAGTCAATGATTTACATAAAATTATTTAACTATTCAGCTACTTCTTATTCATTGAAGATGAGGCATAATGTATAATAATGAAGCCTCTTCAATGATTACCACGAAAAAATTAAGATCATTATAAGTGTCAAAATCATTAGAGATGTTGCATTGAATATCACATTAGTTTTTAAAGATTAAGATGTATAATGTAGTATTGATGAAAAGTAAACTTGAACACAAAAGTTACTAACCTTTCATTTTTTCTTTTCGCTTTTCATCTTCAACCTACAGATGACCTGAAAGCATTTACAAAGCAATCATTCGAATGTTTACTGATACAAGCTTATGACTCATCAACTCACAAACCAATTGGTAGATATTTACCTGGACGATGATTGAAAACATATGATTCCTGTTCATCTTCAACCCACATTGATAGACGCGACAAAAGAGGAGCTATGTTGATTTGAAAAGCACCTAAAAACGTTTCAGGCCCAGTTGCCTTCGAAGAGACAGTCGTCAAAAGATTCAGCCATTTTTCCTGTTAACACCTTTAGCAGATTACCTTCATTACTTTCATCTGTTAACTCTCATCATTGATATCAAACATAAAATGTCCTTAAACATCAATATAGTAATTGACTTCATCTAGTCCTTTTGTTACAAGTTTTCTGCTGTACAGGCATGGAAAATCTATGCAATGTGGATGTCAAAATTACCTCAAAATGAATTTTCCTTAGTTAGCTATTATTGCTGATATTTAGGCACAACAATATCGATAATATATATATCATTATAAACTTCAATCTTGATACCCATAGGTCAATTAGGGAGTTTTTCTCAGTAGGCAAGGGCATCCGGGTAATCAAAACTGCCCAAGTATCATTAATTTGCTACTGCATCTCAATGTGGTGATGACAGGATATCATCAGGGAAGTCTGTCATCCGCATAAAAAATTGAATTGGATTAATAATTCGAAACAAAACGTGGATAACTTGATAATGGAAACGTGGAAATATTGTCAGAATAACAGAACTTGACTTGTGTAATAATTAGACCTTGAGAATTATGATGTCACCTTGGTTTGACCTCGCATGTCATTAGGATTGATTTCCAAAAAATGACCTTGGATGACCTTGGCTTAGAAATATGCAAAATGAGTATTCACGAAATTTGCATAATAAATTATTGCGTCTTTAAGTCTCTAAAGGCCAAGTAATAGCCATTTAACATCGATGAAAATAGCTGAAGTGCCCTGTGTTTCAAACAATCAATATGGTTTAATTCATTCCGTTGTTACGATGTCAAGTCATTAATTATGCCGGTTTAAAGTTCAAAAATCTTTAGATTAGTTGAATAGAATAAATTCAAAGCTCATTCTTTGAGAGAGCAAAATTTTTTCAGATTGGTTGGTGTTTGTTACATGTCCATAACTCATGCCACGAAAATTCTTTTGATTTTAGTTTTCAACTTGAAACACGTATCAATCAATCTGAAAAAGTTTGCACTCTCAAAGAATGAGCTTTAAATGTCATTCGCCAAACGAAAAAAACACAGACAAACCATGGGGCGTGCTAACTTTATGCGCTGGTTTTACATTCTCTTTTTACGGAAATTACTTTTGAATGCGCCATAAGACTTGGGTCATTCAAAAGTAATTTCAATAAAGATTTATAATCAACTCTCAATTTACAGAAATATTGCTTCTCCAATTTCTATTTTGGTTAAAGCTACATGAAACAATTAAAACATTTATCTTGAATCGACAATGATGGATAGATGTTTTTGTTTATTACAACAAATTTTTATTTCATTCAATAATCATTAGTTCATCGCAATGAAAATATTCCAACGATTATGCTGGCAGTAAGACATTAAAACGAGTTATATACATTTGTTAATGAAAATTGTGAGTTTGGAATTTTTCTTGCAATGATTGGAGCATTCTTTGTCTTTTCACCGGGATGAATTGATTAAGGACAAAGAATTGAGATTTAGACCAAAAAATATTCCAAATATAAACTTATTAAAATTTGGAAACATGAAAAGTTGCAAAGGGAAGTTGATGAAAAAATAAAACTTTAAATTGTTGAGTTGATCCACATGTAATGTTGAAAAATTTTAAAATTGCTAAGCGATATTCTCAATTCCATTTCAAAAGAACGAGATAAATCGTTGAGAAGTAATAATTTCAAATGGAGTTATTTATATTCCATTTAATTTTCCTTTGCTTGTATTAATAAATATCAAGGCAGGTTGAAACATCTTGATTATAGCAATCAGAACAAGATTATTCGACTAATTCTTGTTCCTCATTTACGGTGTCTCTATTGATCTTTTGAGAGACGAGACCATCTTCATCATCTGAAACATCATACCAAGCTCGACTGCCATTCCTTCGCCGGCGAAATCCCCTCGCATTCTGAAAATTTGATAAATTGGTGAGATTAGTAAACAATTTATGACGGAATACAAATTTTGAAAGAGTTACAATCGACTTACTTTATTACCCGGCCCTTTTTCAAACATTTTTTTGCGGCTTTCTATAAATTTAGGCGATGATGGATTTGAGGTACTGGTTGAGGGTAAAGATAATGGTTCATCGTAGGTTAAAGGTGAAAGCTCCTTGATTTTAGCTTTCTTTACATGTTTAACACCATAGACGCTATTGGATAAGATTGGAACGCTTTGAGCAGAGGTTAAAGTCACAGGTGATTCATAGGATACAAGTGATACTGAAGTTGTAGAGATGGCTTGAGTTGACGCTATTTGATGTTGATTATAATGGCTTTGCCTGTCATTGACTTCCAGGTTATCAACGTTTTTATCAGTTTTTGATATTGATTCAGCAGCTAATTTTGATCCCTTTAAAATTGAGCTTATTTTAATTTTTGAATTGTCAAATGAAATGTGATTGGCACTTTTGTGGACATCATTGGCACCTGGCAATGAGTTATTTAGAGTAAGTTGAGATTCAGTTGCTGGATAAACATCAAGAGCTTCCATTGATACTGAGCGTATCTTGTCATCTTTTAATCGACTGTAATTAAGCTTAACTGTGTTTAAAGATGCTTTTGATTTATCAGCATTTTTACAGGAAACTTTAGGTTGATAAGGATTATCCTTGATCTCATTGTTTTTGAAATAATCTAAAGAAAAACATGAAAAAATGAAAATTAATAGTCCGACGAGAAAAAAAGTCAATTCTAAGACTTACTATTGGCACTTGAACCGGAGGATGAATTTTGTTTTGAGGAACTAGGAAAATCAGTTTCTTCTTTAGTTGACGAGGTAGAATTGTTAATTGTCACATAATTGTTGGATGATGATAATTGTTTGTCTGACTGAGGTTCCATTAAAGGTTCACTGGAATCATTGTGACCATTAGTATCTTTACCATGTATTTCGTGACTAGAATCGCCCGGCCACCAATCATTGTTACCACTTTTGACACCTGATTTTAACGTTTTACTTGAAATTTCGTTAACTCCATTCAAATTTTCATTTGAAACATTTGAACGAAGAAGCGTCTCCTTTGAGTAGCTCTTTTTTGGCTTCGAGGGAGATGATGAGGTCCATTTACGGAGTGAAAATTTATGAAGAAATCCTCGCTTTCGAGAACCAGAATTAGAATCCATTTCACCAACACCAGAGTCATTTTCCTTCATTGAAACTGAACCAATCATTGAGCTTTCCGATATCTTTGATTCAACCTCAGAGAGTTCAGTGTTTCCAATTGAACCTCGACTCTCTTTGGATCCTAAACTACTTCTAGAAGGACTTGATTTAGATTCCGATTCATCATCAGCTTCCTCGTCAACTTTACTGCCTCTTTCATCACTAGTAGTTGTTTCAGGAGATTTGGTTTGGTGACTGTGATCAGATGGAGAACCGTCAATCGTCCTATTTGAAGGAAGACAATCTTTATTTCCAGATGCAGTGTGAATTTCAGGTCTAAGTTTAAGACTACTATAACCTGATAATTCATCATCATCATCTTCATCAACATCAATCACACCAAAGTCATCAGCACCATTTTCAACTGATGGACGTTTAAAAGATTCATAAATGCTCGATGATTGAGGGTAAACTGATGAAACTGACGACCCTTCAGGTTGCCCTCTTTGCTTTAACCCTCTATGATCTTCACCTCTAGCCTCGTCATTCTTATTCATTCCATTTTTACATTTACTTGTCCGAGTTTTACATGGAACAGCATAATCAGCATCAACCGATGATGAAACAGCATAATGGCTATTATTTAATTTAACAAAAGGATCGGAATACGTATGAGTATAACCATTGCTATCCGTTGTGACAATGTTATCTGAATTATTAAGATGGCTGTTATAAAAACGATGTTGGTTCAACTGATTGTTAATATGATGAGATGTTTGATTGTATGAGCTTTGATTGTGAAGTAAAATATTTTCTCGAGAGTTTCTGGTATTTCCAATTGGTTGATTAGATATATGGCGATCGGCAAGTCCACCATTAGTTAAAACTCGTGAAAAATGAGACTGAAAAACATCGAGTGGACTTTGTTTGGCAACCCCACGAATACCAATGCTCTTGGCTTTGCATCGCTTCCACTTGCGTTCAATTGACTCAACAACCGAACCAAAATATCCTTGCATTTGAACTTTATCCGATTTTGATAGCTGTAAAAGTTCACTAAAACACTTCTCCAGCTCAGTAAATTCAGCTCCATAACTAGAATGCAAAAATAGAAGTAAAAATGAAAAATCAAAATCTAAATAAAAAAAATGTCAATATAAATAAACTTTTACTTACTGCAACAATTCAGTTTCAAGAGCTATGTTTTCCTCTGCAAGTGAAAGGCAGGCCTCAAGAGCCGCTAAATAATTGACGCAGTCCTTAAAGCCATTCATTTTAGCGATATCAATTGGCCTTAAACGCATTTTATTTCGAGCTTTCAGATCTCCATTGTTCATAACTAATATCTGGTGAAAATAACGAAAAGAAAAGCATTAATTTGTATACAAAAATGTAAATTGATTGAATGTTTGAAAGGAAAGGCTTGCATCTAAACCGATTACAATGAAGTTTGAAACTGATGAATTTGACAGATGATAAAAAACCATTTTCTGCTTTTTATTATCAACTAATCATTTTCATCATCCTCAAGCTAAACAACAAGATGATAATCACATAAAATTGGTCTTTTAATTTTCTTCTCATCTCAACATTTTTTCTTGTTTTCCTCTCTTTCTGAACAATTTTGCCTTCTCAAGCAACAAAAATTTCACCTTAACTAACCCTTGACAGATCGTTGATAGCTAAATGCGTAATACACCAAAAAAAATCATGAGTAAACCTATTAAATTGGAGCGAAAGATGAGGCGTTACCTAGCTTTAAGGATAGCTTAGCTGAAAGGCTATCCATAGCAATCAATATGAAAAACATGTTGTTTTTCATTACTTTTTTTAATTCATCAAACCAGAAGATGAAGAAGATGAGGAAAAAAGATGATCACAGGAATTTGAACAGATTCTTGTAGCCTCATCAACTGATACTCAACAAGTTATCAAATGTAATAATACATGTAACAAAATGTTATCATTTGTTGATAAAAGTTTCAAAAAATAAACAGGGAATTACCTTGAAAACGGAAAATAAATTAGCAAAATTAATAATGTAAAAGTTGAATGCATATAAATGTACAGAGATATTTTATTAACCACCAAAATTGATTGTGTCCATAACAAGAAGAGGCAAGATGAAGAAGAGCAAAAAAAAGTATCTTAAATATGATGAAAATAATGATTATAGCCAGAAGGGTTCATGAAAAAAAAAACATTTTTACCAGCAACAAATAGATTGAACCTCAACTTTTGAGATACATTTTTAATTGTTTAGGTTTGTGTTTTGACTTGAAGATAATTAAGTTAACAGAGGGAAGAAAGATGATGACGAGGATGATGAAGAGAGAGAGAAATGTATAAATATAAATGGAAAAAGAAAGTAACTCAAAAAAAACAATAATTTTTTCACTAAATGTGTATAAATGCGTATTTTGGTAGCAACCTTAAGTTTTGCAGTTTTGAGTTTCTTGGTAAATCAGTTTGACGGCAATAATTCATCTCCATTTAGAGATGACCATTCTCATTATAGTCTGAACTGAGTATTTGTTGAAATACAAATGAGTAATGAAATTGAGAAAAGCTGGAAAAATGAAGTTGAATTTTTGCTTTTTACTTAAATTGTTACCTTAACTGAACAGGAACAAATGAAAGGAAAATATTTTTTTCCAGTAAAAAAGTAAATTGCAATTACAAAACGATGATGATGATAATAATGATAATGATTATCATTTTTTGTGTGCACTTCTTTTTTGGATACTTTAACTATTATTATTTGGGATGCTAATGGCAATGACAGAGTAAATGTCAGATGACCTGGGGATATATAATGATGATGATGATCTTCAGCATCTTTGCAAGGTTATATATACAATAATTGTCTATCAATGTGTTTGTTTGCTTGAAAGCCTTGCATTTAATATTTGATAAAAAGGCTAATATTAAACTCGTAATTAAACTTGTTTATGCTGAAAATTTCAAGATTATTCCTAAGGAAATATCAGTTTGACGCCGAATGACAAATAATATATTTTGTTGTAGCTCAACAGTTTATTTTGTACCCGATGGGGATGAGGATGAGGATGAAAAAGGTTTTCAAAAATTGATTCGTTCTTTCATTTGGAAAAATGAAACAAGAGCAAAAATGCAAAACCAGAAATCAGAAATCTTTTTCATTCATCTCATCATTTGCTACTCTTTGGCCGTTGCCATTGAAATTTGCCGTTTAATTGTTTTCAATTTAATCTTGTAATGAACTTGATGACTGAGATGAAAAGGTTCAAAATGTAAAGCTTTACCTTTACTTGAAAAAAGTGTTAGTGATTTATCTTGATTGTTAAAGCGTTGATTTAACAATTGGTTGACATTAAGGTTTCATGGAAAGTTGATTGAAAATCAATGATGAAGATAATAATTTTCAATGGTGAACCATGAAATTGGTTAAGTTGTGAATGAAAGTGATGAGGAATGATTTAGAATGTGATTTAAAGAGAAATATCAAGATGTTTGTTTAGCCTTTATCATAACCAGGATGGAAGTAAATGAAAAGTCTGAAAATAATTGTGATGATGGCATGAAAATATTTCAATGTTAATTTTCAATTGATGTTGCGCTTATGATACATAAAGGTAGCTTTTCTGGTAACAAACCTATTTTTAACCTTTTATAGCAAATAAAATGGCCATGATAATAATAACAGGTATTATTAAATACAAAGGAAACCAATTGTGATGGAAAAGAGATTCAAAAAAATCAAGTTGCATTGAAATTTTAAAGGAATAATATTGAATGGAAAAGATGCAAGTTTAAGATTTGAACACACGTTTTAAGATCCAAAGTGGCTTAACAAGTTGCTAACTTGTCTTTGCTGATATGTTTTTCAAAGAGAGAGAGAGAGAGAGAGAGATGATGATGATGATGATGAGAGAGAGAAAGAGGATGAAATTAACTTGAGCAAGCCGCTGAGAGATCGTGATTCAGCTTACCGTTTTGTTGATACAACCATCGCAATAACAACTTTGCTACTGGATTTACGCTTAAAACTTGAGATGCAACAAAGGTAGTTTTTTCAGAGTCCATCAATGATTAACAATTTATATTCAGTTTATTATTTAATTACTTTCTTTCTCTCGTTCAAATCCTCTTGTGATGAATATTTATTAATTTTTACTCAATCTTTCAATCTTATTTTTAAGCTGCCTCAATGTTAGCTGTAAATACAAAGTTACAAATGGTGAAACTTGTTGACAATTTGAGTTGCCTTTAAAGATAAATATTGCCTCATCAATATTTCCATTGATTTTCAGCTATTAATATTTCATCAGAATAATAAATACATGAATACATGTATTTTGAACAGTATTTATGAGAAGTAAAAGAATCATCATTTGGAATCAACAAACTGAGAAGTAAAATTGCAATAAAATGTCTTCAAAAATATTCAAAATTCTGCCCCAAACAATCAACATTTTATCGAGCTAATTGTAAAACTCAACAAGAATCACATCAACATTTAGCTTGAAATCATCAAGTAATTGGTGCAATTACTATTCGGAAACAATCTGTTAGATTCGTGAACAAACAGTAAGAATATCGAAAGTGTTCCGAGCTCGAAGATCCGAGACTTTGAGGATTCATTGGTCATTGATTCAAGAGGAAGATTAACAGTGTTTGAATCTTTAGTAATCAAGATGAATCTGATCAATAAGGAATTAGAAATTCGTCAATTGATTGAATGTTGTGGGCAATTTTCAGTAACATCAACTTTTGAAATTGTTATTTAGATAACTTTTTAAGGTAAATCAGGTTTTCAATGGAAGAGAAATGATGATTCTAATATTACATGATCTTAATTAGGATCTTAAGCTTATAAAAATGTCATTTTAACGAGGTAAACTTTGATAATAATTGACCATGAAGATTGGTTAAAGTTTAATGAGAACAAATTGCTAAACTTATCAACATGAACTTATCCAGAGAATCACATGAAGTCAGGGAAAAGAAAGAGGTGAAAAGTGAACATTTATCTTGTTAAAGATTTAAAAGCTAAATTATTGATAAGCAAAATAATAGATAATTTTAATTGAAAAACTTGTAGATAATTAAAGTGCAATTAAATATCTAATGTTGGTGTAAACATTTAATGGCAAAATAATAGTTAATTTATCGAGATAATCAGTTAAGATTTGCAATAAAACTTGAAAACATGTAAAGAAAACAAAAAACAAATGATAATTTGAAAGGCCATTGAAAAGGCTAAAGTTACAATAAAGTCTAACCATGAAAATGTTTTTTGCTACAACTTTCAAGACGTTGACTGGATGATGATAAGGTAAGGGAAGTTGCAAGTGAAGATCAACTGTCATCAACTTTTCATTATAATCATCATTAAATGTGATATTTAAATTGTCAGGTAAACAGCAAGGTTGTTGACAATTGTTGAGTGAAATGAGAAGGAAAAGTTAATCACTTTTTCAAGACCTTTGGCCGACTGTTCAACAAAGAAGAAGAAGATTTTTAAACGTAAAATTTGGTGAAGCAAAAATAATGATGAGGAGTGAGGAGGATGAACAGACTAAGAGGACGGAGGAAGCCAACAAGTGACCCCGCATTAGTCAACTGTCGTCAATGCCGGATATCCTGAGATGAAAAAGCGTCCATTTTAAGGGCATAATTAGCATTTTTTGTGCCTATCAACTTGTCACGAGCATAAACGCAACCAACGAAAGCGAAAGCAAAGGTAAAAACAGACAATTTTGTCATTTGCATCAAGGTAATGGTCTATGGATTAGCTAATTGTGTGGAGTGATTTGAGGGTCAAAATTGGCTGATGATCAAGATGACTTTTTATCAGCTTTGGTTAAAGTAGCAAAGTTGAAAGATGGTCAAAGTTTAAAGGTAATTGGCATTGGTGGTAATTTAAGGTAATAATTGAATGTTTCAATTTGATTTGGAGGTTTAAGTTGGAAATTTTTGCTTCTCATTTTAATCAATATTAATGTTGATATTAACATTTAACCTTAGCTTGATTGGTTCTGGGATAGTTCTGATTTACTAATCACCGCAAAACATCGATTTATTAATAATAATGTTTTTCAGGGTGAGGCTCATTTGGCTCAGGCTTTTTATTATCACTTTATCATCAAACTTTACTTCAGGTTGAGATTAAAATATTTGCAACAATTAATTTGAAGCTTTTGATTACATTAAATGTTAACTGTTTCAAGAAACATGAGAATCAAGATGAAAGGTGATAAAAAGTGATTAGCTATGAAAATACAAAACCATCAGATACTTTGTATAATAAGCCCAATAAGCATACAAAATTATCATTAAATTTCAATAGATGTTTATGTAAATTGGCTTCAATGAAAAAAGATGAGAAACATGAAAAGGTTAAATGTTTCATTGTATTACCGAGTAGATTAAATGATTTACCTCATTGGGAGGTTTACATGGTGAAATTGTGTTAATGGAAGATTGGATATATTTGATAATAATCATCTAATCAATTGATACAGTTAATTAACAGAAATCAATGTTTATCCAATTGACCCCACATTTAATCAAATGTATTTTCAAGAAGAAAAGAGAAAGATGTAAAGATGAAAATGATCATCAGGATGATTGGCCTGAGGATGGATGGGAGAGAGAAGGTATGCTTTAAGGTATGAAAATGATATAATCAGAATGGACTCAGGGTAACAGGGAATAGAAGAGGAAAAAAAGAGAATTTAATTTACCGCAAAAATGCGTTGAACCATATTTTGACATTTTTTCAATCAACCTTTCAATCAAGTTTTCTTTCAGCATTAAACAACAGAAGTAAAAAAACAAGATACTTTATCCTCATCAACAACAAAACATCTTCTTCTCCCTTGAATTTGTCTTCATGGTTCAGTCTTGTAATGAATTTTTATCCTTCAGTTTACCACGTTGCCATGTAAAAAGTCAATGAGACGAAGAGTGAAACTGATGATGAAGGTGAAGTGAGTCTTCATTGTTGATGCTTTTGATGGACTGACTTGAAGTGATTAAAATACAATCAATTTTGATGGATTTTAATTATTGTAAAAATATCGATTACAATGTAATCAGAATTTAGATTTTCATTTTCATTGAAACCTTTAAGTTAAATGAGATATTGTAAATGGTTAATAAAAAGTGAATTGGTAATTGAGTTGAACATTTCAAGATTGCTCATTTAATTTGCTTATAATGAAGGGAAAATCAATAATTATTCAATCAAATTGCCTTTTAGTATTCATTTCATTTGAGATGAACAACAAATTCACTGATTTAATTTACATACAAACAAATAGTATTAATAAAAGTGAGTAAATCAAAATTATCATTTCAAGTTGAATAAATTACAAGATTCAAATGAACCCAAATAACAATTTGAGTTTATTGAAAGGTAATAATGTTATTTGTTCAATTTCAAGAAACATTTATTATCACATTGAATTGAATTGCAGTTAATTCATTGGTAATTTTTGGGTAAATTGCAAACGTTGACTTAATTAAATTGTTGATCATCTCAACTCAATAATGTTTAAGTTGTGCTATTAAAAGATGAGCACATTTATTGTTGTTGCTGGTGATGATGATTAATTGGACTCTTCAATGTACTATTAAACTAATAATTTTGGGTTCTTTGATTGTTTAATTATAATCTCAACATCTCATCAATACTGTCAAAGAGTCAAGATTGAGCTTCTGATTAAGGGTTGAGTGAAGTGCTCAGAAAATTGTTCAATAAATAGCCAAAAAGTAGCTTAACAATCAGTAATTTTGCTTGTACTTTTTTCAACCTTTTGACAATTGACACCTGATTTTTACCAGGTTCATCATGATTCTTTCTCGTGATCTCAAATAATATACTTCAGTGAATAAGATGAACAAGATAAAACAAAAAAAAGGTAAGGAGGGAAAAAGAAATCAAAATAATCACAAAATTCCTTAAGGTTAGCCTTACAGAGAGATGGCAATGTGAAGGTAATACATTTTGTTTTGTTAGCTTTACATTATCATGGTTGTAACGTTGCACCTCAACAGTCAAACAAAAGCATAGATGAACCAAAAAAACAGACGAAATGAAGGTAAAAGGCCAATTTTAGGTGTGTCCAGAAAAGTAGCAAAAAATTCAAGGAGTGACTGATGATAAACAAGGAATAGAGTGAAAGGTTTTTAATATTGAATGGTGGGCTAGATTTGCTTTCCTTTTTGGATAGGAAATAATTTTGTTCACAGTAAAATTGTAATTTTAGGTTATAATCATTTTTCAATTCAACCAATTCATCATCATTATCATCTGTGGGTTCTTGATAAGGTTGACATGGGTCAATTTGATCAAATATTCAGAGTAGATCATCAGTTTGAGACACTATTTTGGCTTCTGTATTTTGAATAAATTTTGCCTTTTCACATTAACATCAGAATAATGATTGATATTAAATTGGATATTTCAATTGGGAATGGAATTGGATAAAGAAATTGAATTGATTAGCAAAATTATCGAAGGTTTTTTTTCTGGTGAATTTGAAATTTTAACGCTATTATCTTTGACTATTCAAATGATTATTCAATTTCTTGGTGATTTTGTTTAGGTTACAGAAGCAAGTTAAAAAAGGCCTTAAGGTAAAACCATTTATCACCATTTAGATGTCGCTCGATTTTTTGGCCTCAAATAAATTGTTTGAATAAGTATTGTCAAAAGTATGAGAGAGAGAAGCTAACAAAATTGATCACCATTTAGTTTGTTCATTGATTTACCTGAGGCTTATTACCTAAAGGAGGAAACATTTTGATATCGAGGCAAGAAGATGAACAAGATTGAAGAAGCATAGAGATGAACATGAAGATATGAATTTAAAGGTTTGGTTGCATGGAAATATCAAATGATATTATTGAAGGAGCAAAAATATTTAACAATAAACAGTGGCTTAATAATGGAAGAGGTTCACAGATAACAATAATCAGGTCGATGTTTAAATTGAATGACAATTATCTGGTGTTCCATTCATCTTATCAATTTTCAGTTTTACATTTTGGATAATCAATCAGATCAGGCCAAATAATAATTGATAATTCAAAGCTAGTCAGTTGTTTGACTCAATAGCCAAACCCATTGATAGTGTAAAAATACAACTGTTACGGGAATCAGTCAGTTGAATTATTTAATCAATTGAATTGAGGTACATGATGGTATGGTAATTGTTTGATTGCCGGAATCAATGTTGTGGTGTAATTGGTGTTGATGATTACACTCATGAATTTTAGATTAGTATCTTGAATATCATCTGAATCAGAGATACGGATATTGAAATGAATGACTATCGAAATGGACTTGAGAAAAATTAGGTGAGGAGAGTCAAGGTAATTTTAGATAATCTATTACATTCATGATAATCATCATTCTTTAAAAGGGTTTGCCCATTTACATTAAATGATGTTACCAACCCTTTGATGATTTGTTGCTATTCAGATTGGATGAAGCAAAAAAGTTGTTCATCAGAATATCATGAATGGCAGAAGTTGATGCCTTTTGATAAGATATCAAACACTATTGAGGTGAAGAAAGTAAAATTGACCATGAATTTGATTATGTGATAATGAACAGCATATTATAATTGAAATAGGGTATATGAAATTGATGATTATCATACTTTGAAGGAAGATGTTTGGTTAAACTTGGCTGCAAAATGGAGCGCAGTATTTCCTTGCATATCACGTTGATTAATATCTACACCATTGAATATCATGAATCCAACAAGCCAATTCAATATTTCTTCCTACAAGAAACAGATAACAGAAGAAGAAAGAACATAAATGATACGAATAACACTTTAACTATCAAAAAAATATATAAAGAAATATTTTGGTGGATTTTTGGTGGATGGGTAAAGTTAGATTGAAGGGTTGATAGATCAAGTATTGAAGGAAAAGAGGATTGAGATCCTTGAAAAAGTTAAATTAGATCAAAGAGGTGGTTAGATCAGGTTTAGAAGCTAATCAAGAAACTTGATTAAAGTAAATTAATTAATAAAGAATTGATTACCTGTCCGCATTTTGCAGTAAAATGAAGAAGAGTTCTCTCACCGGGTTCACTTTCAAGAACCATTTTGTTAACAACAGTTGCTTTAATAAGCCATTGGACAACTTCAAAAGAGCCATTCTTGATGGTTGCAAAAAAGGGTAACAGCAAAAAACAGCAGAAGATCCAGCAACGGGAACAAAAATGGAGAAGAAAAGACAAAAAGAAAAATTTAATTAAAATTGGACATTTAGGATAGTGACATTGATTAAAAAGGATTCCCTTAATCGTAAAAGAGATGGTTAATGGTGGATAAATAACTTCTGGTTAATGAACAATTAATAGCAACATTAACTCAATTTAATAAAAAAAAATACTTCAATAGATAACTCAAAAAAGTGGTTACCAAAATGGCTACCCCTTAACTCATTTCTTATTTCTTTCCCTCTTTTTTTCAACTCTCTCGTCACTCTAGCTCCATGTGGTTTTCATTTTAGCTTAAGCTTGTTTGTTTTATAAATTGAGAACATTGACTTGTTATTTCGGTTCAGTTAATTTATGTCCATTGCTAGTTTCAAATTGTTTCCTCATTATTATCATTGGTAATTGAATTATTTTCATTCCCTTAAATGTGTATCTACTAGTTTATGGAATGGAGAGAGCGACTAAAAGAATCTGGATTTCATGTTTTCCAATCAGGTGTGATGAAAGCAAAAAAAAATGTAACACTTCATTGATATATATCAAGATTTTGCTTTTTTGTTGGTGTATTATAACAGGTAACCGTCAACTGATAATACCAAATGATGATATAACTTGGACCGTAAATCATCACCTAACAACTTGTTGTAACAACTATGCTAACCTGTATGAGCCAATCCATATCAAAAGATAAATCTACTTCACTTTTACATATTCATGGAGATGTGTTTAAGTAACTAGCAAATTCTACTTTAAAGTAAATTACTCAAGAAATGGTGAAACAAGAGAAACCAATTAAACTAAAATGGAGACCAGATTTTGTCAATGTAATCTGAGTAAAATTAACCAATGGTGAAAATATTTGTTGGAATGAAGTTTACAAATGTATTCGAAAGATTTGCAAAGAAACATTACATCTTGGCTTCACATGGTGATGATAATAAGAAAGTAAACGTAAAGTCATTAACTGTTTGAATTGGCTGAATAGTTAATGTATGGAATAGCTGAATGTGCCCGTAATCAGCTTTCATTAACAATTGAATTTCACTTTTTTGATTACCAACTTGACTCGTGTAAATAGTAAGTTACTTGATAATTTTAATTGATTTGCCTCGGCAATATTGAAGTTTTTATTATTTTCCTTATATTCTAGCCTTAATGTTGCACAAATTGACTTGGTAAATGATGACTTTTCAAGAATCTTACCTTGATTGCTGATTCAACTGGAAGTAAATTTTGATAATTTCGTATTAGAAGTGGCTCCTGTCCATCAGGCAAAAAGCAAAGCCATCGTAAACATGGCATGTGGTTGTAACGAGCTGTTACATGCCAAAGAGTATTACCCTTTTCATCACACAAATTTGATATCAGGCAAGTCGTTATACCTTGAAGGTTTTGTTTCTGTTCATTTTGTGGAAGAGATGATTGAGCTTTAATCGCACTTTCCTTTGAATTAATGATTTCGAAAGATTTCAAGTTTATTATAATGAATACAATCTGTTTTATATTAAAACAGACTGTCAATGGAAACTTTTAGATGAATCTGACTACAAATTTAATAAGAATATTTTGTTATCAGTTAAAAAAATCAAACGAAATACGTTCGTTGTTTGTCAAACCATGTAGAGCTAATGACAACCGTTGTTTTGTCAAAAGGTTTCATTTTGTTTTCCATTGATACTTTTGGTGATCTTGGTTTTTATATGATTTCATTGATTATTCTAATATGGTTTGGATAAATTAATTCCCTAACTTACTTTTTCTCCCTCATAAGTAGTGTCAAAAATAACAGTTGGAGGTGCTAATAGATGCAAACAAGTGGACTTACCAGAAGAGGAAGGTTTCCACTTTTAGCCTGTTCAAAGATTAAATTAATCCAATTGGAGTTGGCAAGACGAGAGCCGGAGCCATTAATTGAAACTGGTAGATCACCATTATTTATTTGCCCGGAACCTTGATTCAACTTGATTTTTCGAGGTTTACGAACTCGAGCACTTGTTGAAGCAACACTAAGAACTTCTGATTCGGTACAAATGTCATCATAATCCACTGAGATTAACTGTTGTTGACTAACTGTTGAATTTAATCCATTAACTGGTGAAGTAATACTATTTTTGAACTGATATGGATAGGCCAGTCTTTGAGTCAGTGAAACTCTAGAAGGAAGAGAATCAAAATTTAACCCATTTGGAGAAGAAAGTCCAATTTCATTATCAGACAAACAAAATCTGGTATCATCATCCGAATTGAAACCCTTAGATCCAGCAATTCCTCGTATCATATTGAGGATCTCAGGTAAATTTGTAAACTTTTCATTTAAATTATCACTTAATGATTGGATCGTACTTTGTAGGTTACGATGACAACAAGCGTGTTTAAATTGAATACAATATGTGAAGATAATTTCATTCAAATGGATCGCTTAAACAGATGGAAAACAACACAGATTTTGAACACCGAACTGTCTCCAATTAGTCACATTTTGTTTTTCACATTTTAAAACAAAAACTCAAGGAAACATACGTTGAAGCCATGTTGAAGAAGGATAGTTAAAATCAAGTCAAGTAATACCAAATCAAGAAGAAGTAAAAAAAACAAGATGAAGAATCAAAGGAGAAGAAAGATAAAGATGAAGAAGAGGAGCAAAAATATTTGGTAGCAAGATTATTCAGTTTTATTTTTAAAGTGTGTTACACGCATGTAACAGAAAGACGGACGGATTCCAGGCTCCGATCAGCCAAAGAGAAGATGATGAGGATGGTATGATGATGGAGCAAAAAGAAGAGGGAGAGAAAGGAGGGTCTTTACTACCTTGACTTCTGCCTTACCTGAGGTCCAACTTTACCTTAAAATGCTCTTACTTCTTTCTTTCTTCTTTCTACAATTTTTGTGGTTAGGCGGGCTTGGAACCTTTTCGCTCCAAAGCTTCTGAAAGTGAACTTGGTAAACAAGAAAACTTGATTGAGAGAAAAGTAAGAAAAACAAGAAAGGTACGCGATATAAGAAGACTTGAATAATTATGGCGATGTTCACAATTATGTTGATCATTCTGAAAGTTTCCTTTGAGCACACGCTTTTAATGCTCGCAACTCAAACTTAATTTTTTATTCAATTTTCATCATACAATAGAAATTTTGTTTTTCAAATGTTTAGCATTTATTAAATTTTTCAGTTCAAGATGAACTGTTTTTTTACTTTAAATATCATTTATAATCAATAGATATTTATATCAAAGGAGGCAACTCATCATAAGTGACATCTTCTCTCTCAACTCCACTCTCATTAATGGTTGCAAGTCGAGCACAGCCACCACTTGACCCGTCTCTGTGAATCGCCAAAGTTATACCTATTTTGTTGGAAGAAAAAATGGGAAAATATGAAACACAGTAAAAATACAGAAATAGTGGTTCATTTACCTTTAACGAGAAAATCACGACATTCTTGCCGAGTCATATTAGGCTTGAAAGTACTGTCGACATATCCCATAATAAAAACACTACCCGATCCACCGAATGCGACAGGCAAACGTTTCAACATACCACCCAAAGTAATTTGGTAAATCTAAGTGGACAAATTCATGAGAAATTAATGAAAAATGAATTCTTAAAAAACAAATTTGAAATAGAGTATCTTACCTGGCCTCCATCTCGCTTATCCCAACCAGCAACGATAATACCAGCAGTTAATGAATATTTATACTGATAAATAAGATCTCTAAAAATATTGGCTGCTACTCCAACGGAAGCTGGTTCTCCGATTTCTTCTCTATAACGAAAATATAAAGATTAACATATTATTTTCAAATTTAATTTAAATTTTCGTAGCTACTCACTCGTAGAATGATAGATGATACTTAACAATAGCCGCAAGAGCTTGAGTATCTGCACTACTACCAGAGCGGCAGCAATAAATTTTGTCCGTGAGTTTTGTCAATTTATCCGTAAGCCTTCCTGCGACATAAGTTCTGAAAAATGAAAGAAAAGCATTAGTGTGAAAGATGAAGAAAATAAAACAAAGAAAAAAATTACCCGGTTGAAGTTCTAGTATCAGCAGCAATCATGATTCCACCATCATAGCTGGCTGCCATCAATGTGGTCTAAATAAGGATAACAAATATTTGGAGTTTAATCAAATAATTAAACGATCAAAGTCAGAATTAAAAATTAAAAAAGTACTTACACCAGTTTTATGAGGATGCTTAAGATAATCAGGTGTCAAACTATCAAACTGTGAATTAGTTTTTTCTAGATCATGGCTATCATCAGCCCAATTTAATGTAAATGGTGAAGACATCGTGGTACAAAACAAATTCAAAACGACAAATTGTTGTAATTAATTAGAAAGTAAACAAAATACAGTTTAGGATTGATTAAGAATTGGCGAGGGGAATGAATAAGCTGTTTTCACATACGGTAGAGTGTGCTGCCCTCCATCGTATATTTAAATCATAAATAAAACCAGAATTATTTGAAAACAAACAGTAGTCTTGACACCAGTCAGCTGAGTTGAAATAATTCCGATTTAAATTCATCATATTTCTATCCTCATCTTAATTGTCATAATGGGTGAGGGTAATATGGGAAGTGTTTATGGAGGGTGCGAAGGACCAAATGCTATGTATGTAAAACTTATTTCTTCAGATGGCCATGAATTCATCATAAAGCGTGAACATGCTTTAACCTCTGGAACCATAAAAGCTATGCTCAGCGGTCCTGGTAAGTACCGAATCCCCTTTATATAATTTATCTGCATTTCTGTAGCTCTAATTGTTTTCATCTTTTCCTTCCTTTCCTTCATTTAGGCCAATTCGCGGAAAATGAAACAAATGAAGTCCATTTCAAAGAAATCCCATCTCATGTTTTACAAAAAGTATGCCAGTATTTTATATACAAGGTTAAATATACAAACAGCGACGTTGAAATTCCCGAATTTCCAATCGCTCCAGAAGTTGCTTTGGAGTTACTGATGGCTGCTAACTTCTTAGACTGTTGAGCAAAGTGGCAACAACAGCCAGCAAAAATTAAACTCTCAGTGGGCGAAGTATTATTGTGTTACTTTAAACCATAATAAAGTGAAGTTTTTTTCATTTGAATCTAACTTAATTTGATTTGATAGAATGATCTATCTCAAAGATTTGTAGAAATAGAAAATCTCAAATCAAAAGAACCGGGTTGCGTTGCTTCTTTATCTCATTCCCACCATCATAACAACCATTCCTCTCCTCCTCCTGTTGGTACTGATGTGCTAATCTCAACCAATAATGCATCTTTGTACAATTCATATTCATCATCGTCAGTATCTAGCCTTTTAACCATCAACAATAATGAATCTCGGTCTCATCTGGTTGTTGAATTAGCTGAAGCAAAATCAAAATATCGTAACAGCTCAACATGATTTTTCTAAACGAGTCCTTAAACTTTGATTTGAAAATCAAAGATCACATTCGCTGGTTTAAAATAAGAAGCATAGAGCAAAATTATTGGAAATTAAACATTCACAAATTTTAGCAAAAAGATCAGTCAATGATCATGATTTAGTTTCAAAGCTTATTTACTTAAAATGAATTAGACTCGATTTCAATGTTGTATCTTGTTCCCACTATGATATGTTGATGAAACTTGAGCCTCATTTATGATTCCATTCTTGTATTAAATAATAGTAGGAAATATTGCAATTAACTGCTTAATAAAGAAATCTAATTTATAAGATAAATTAGATTCAAAGGAGTAAGTATTACAAAAAATTTCTTAGTTAAGAGTTGGGACTCAACCGGGAGCCGATCGACAGTTTTGAGAAAATTGAGGTCCAAGTTGAAACTTTGCCCGCCTTTTGTTCAAATATGGAACCAGGTTTTTTCATGAAACTCATTTCCATAAAATTGTTAGTACACAACATGAATCGAATACTTTTCTCAATTTATCAACAGTTCTCTTGATTTTTGCCATTGATCTAAAACTTTGAAACTTTGTTCCATCATTCAAAAAACAAAGTTATTTTATATAAATTATGATGACCAGGTTGATTGTCCATGTTAAAACTACTAAAAGTTACAACAGAGTGAAACTGTAAATCGGGGAAAAATTTTAATAGCATAATAGACTCGATTTTTATCCCTTAAAAACCCACGAAGTCCCTACTCTTAACTCAAAAATAGCTTTTTTCACTTACTCCTTACTTTTAAGATTGATTTTGAAATGTAAATCAACAGAGATTAAAGCAAGACGAAATCAAGGTAAAAAGTCAGTTTATGTTTGTCCAGAAAAGAAGCAGAAAATTTATTATATTGAATGGCTAGATTTGCTCTCCTTTTTGGATAGGAAATAATTTTGTTCACAGTAAAATTGTAATTTTAGGTTATAATCATTTTTCAATTCAAACAATTCATCATCATTATCATCTGTGGGTTCTTGATAAGGTTGACATGGGTCAATTTGATCAAATATTCAGAGTAGATCATCATTTTGAGACACTATTTTGTATTTTAAATAAATTTTCCCTTTTCACATTAACATCAGAATAATGATTGATATTAAATTGGATATTTTAATTGGAATTGGAATTGGATAAAGAAATTGAATTGATTAGCAAATTTATCGAAGGTTTTTTTTCCGGTGCATATGAAATTTTAACGCTATTATCTCTGGCTATTCAAATGTTTATTCATTTTTGGTGATTTTGTTGAGGTTATCTGGCAATCTTCACTTAAACTTAAAATCGATAATCTTGCCTCCAAACTTTGGAATCCAAAGAGTAGGATAAACTCTTTGCTTTCTGAGATTGTGCTGTCCTCCATCGGATACAAACCATATAAATAGAACCAGTTTTTTTCAAAAAAATATTAGTCGTCTTGACACCAGTCAGCTGAGTGAATTGTTTTTAAATCCCAGATTTGTGTTGGTATTTTTTTAAAAATCATCTCATTTCTTTCCTCGTCTTTCTTCATTTTGTGATACTCTTCGGTTTATTCAAGTAACTCCATCATCAACATGGGCGAAGGTAATGGTGAAAGTGTATATGGAGGGTGCGAAGGACCAAATGCTATGTATGTAAAACTTATTTCTTCAGATGGCCATGAATTCATCATAAAGCGTGAACATGCTTTAACCTCTGGAACCATAAAAGCTATGCTCAGCGGTCCTGGTAAGTACCGAATCCCCTTTGTGTATTTTACCTGCATTGCTATAACTCTAATTGTTTTCATCTTTCCTTTCCTTCCTTTCCTTTCATTTAGGCCAATTCGCAGAAAATGAAACAAATGAAGTCCACTTCAAAGAAATCCCATCTCATGTTTTACAAAAAGTATGCCAGTATTTTATATACAAGGTTAAATACACAAACAGCGACGTTGAAATTCCCGAATTTCCAATTGCTCCAGAAGTTGCTTTGGAGTTACTGATGGCTGCTAACTTTTTAGATTGTTGAGCAAAGTTTCAACAACAGCCAATAAAATCAACCCTCAACGGACGAAGTATTATTGTGTTACTTAAAACCGTAATAAAATGAATTTTTCATTCAAATTGAACTTAATTTTATTTAAAATTTCGCGATTCAAACGGTCGGAACCAAAGAAGAACGCTTCATTGATCTCATCTTGTGGCGACATCTTACGTTACAGTCATTCATTTTCTTCTCTCTCTTACTCTCTCTCACCTTTTGGTTTCTTTGAGGTTTTATTTTCAAAATTGACTGAAACAACATCACCTTCTCTTTCCAGTGTAATTATTTTCATTGTTATAAAATGTTATGCATCAATTAATATTTTTATTATTTATATTGTGAATTGTCAATATCGGAACTTGTATTTCAAAAATTTGAATTTATACATTTCATGGAAATTAATGTTTGTTAGTCAATAATACTAAAGTGAACATCACAGGTCCAAGGTATACATATTCATAGTGTTATTATGAAGTTCATTGTGAAAGACAAAGCACTTTGTATCCCCTTTTTGTGTCTTTGAGCTGAAGTGGTCAAACAAACATATCCGCCCGTTTCTTTCCTCTATAATTAACGGTAAGCTTCCCTTTTTTTTGCTACTCTGAAATGACAACCTAGAAAAATATCTTTTTTTAAATTGACCGTTGTGTTTGAATAAATGGTAACTTTCTCGCCTTCTCAACTAAACCTAATCAATCTGCACACCTTTCAATCTCAATTTGTCCTCTCATTAATTAGCTATGCAGTCTAGTCATCAAGCCTCTCGGATAGATTCTAAATCTTTTAAAAGTGATAAATTTAAATCAGCTTTCTTCATTCAAGTAAATTTCAATTCTTCAATCTTGAATGTAATTTGTTTAATTAATTTTGACAGTTGGTTGTTTGTTAATTTGTTCAAGTCAGTATTATCCTTTTGTTAATTGATGGTTCCTCTAGTGATACGAAAAAAAAGATGGTTAAACCTGTTTAAAGATTAAACATTGTGGATGATTCATCTTTATGTGATCATAGGGAACCACACGAACTCACGCAATGATTAATTATCGATTATGTTTAAACTTGGTACACCTTGATGGAATAAAACAAAGGAAATAAGCTTTACATTTGTTGCTCCTCCATTTCCAAATTAGCTTAGTATTTGTCCTTCTCTAATGGATTGTTAATCTTCCTCACTCTTTCACTGATCAGAGCAGATGATTCATTTTGATTTAAAATGTACATCATATTCATCTTTATGTTTTATTCAAATTTTTTGTTCAAATAGAAGCTGATTCATTGAAATAGCTAAAGAGTGACGGTTAAGATATAAAATCAATAAATGTGCTGAACTAAATTTTACACTCCTTTCCAGAACTTGTCAGGCTTTTGGAATATTCAATTCATAAATTTCAACCTTTTAAAAGGCAACTGGCAAAATCCCAATAAGATGCTTTTCAACTCACTAATCTAGTAAAAAAAAGTATTAAAATCAACAAATTTAAAAGATTAAAACGTTTCAATTTTTCTTTTCAGAGTTTGTCAACCCATTTTCATCCCTAAAACAGATTACAACTCTGTTAATTTATGCCAATTTCAATTCTCTTCAGCATCTTAACCAGTTTCTCATAAACCATTTAGCTTTAGGTGTTTTCTTAATGACTAACAGCTCAAGTATTTTTAAGAATGAACATGTTTCAACCCATTCTAATCTTTGAAACAAAATAACTCAACGATTTATCTGCATACTCGTTTTTCAAAATATTCACAATCAATTTTGATTATCCATCATTGTTTACTTTCGTATGGGAATCAATAATTTTGATAGCCATTTTGTGAATAATCATTTACCTATTCTTATCCTTCATTGATCTGCACTTCGTAAATCGTAAAAATCATTTTTCTCTGAAATTTCAAACCAAATTTATGTCCAAACTTGCATTATACTGAAGAACATATTAAATTTATTCAAATTAATTCTAATTTACGCATTGTCTTTTCAGGATAAACTGGCGATAAAAAAACCGACTCCGGACTAAAGTAACTTCTCACGGAGAGTCTTAAAACTGGTTGTACTTGGTTAGTGTAAGCCAGATGCTCAGTATCTCTGCTCCCAACTCTTTTATTGTTTGGTCCTTTTGACCTCTTTTTTGTTGATCAACATCATCAACATTATTCAACATCACCATTTCCATTTATAACGACAATGAAAACAACATTTTTAATCATAGTCGCCATTATCATTTGTGAAACCCAATGTGTTCAACCAAAGTAACCACTTTTCTCAAATCTCCATTGGTTACCTGGATCAAAACATTTCAAAAGGAAGGTTATGATGACCAGGTTGATTGTTTTAAACTTTTTGATGGTATCTTTCTTAATTCAGTGTGGCAACAAATAGAGACCAATGGATCATTCCATAGCCACTCAACGATCGACGAAACGGGTGACTCTATTACATCACGAATCCGTAACTTAAGTTCACTTCTATATAAAATTCAAAGTTTTTATTACGATTCATTGGGACAGATTCTTGTGCTTAAACTGCCTGATGTGGTCAACATTGGCCGAGATCCAGAAGATGAATGTAATCTTGAAGATCTTGGAGCATTTTTGCTTCTCCTTCTTGGCTCAGCTGTCCAATGTGAGTCAAAAGAAAAGTTCATCGAGGCTATTACAGCTTTTGACTTTACTGTTCAAGAGTCAATTGTTGCATGTATTCGAGAGATTGTGGATAACCCATCATCTGTTTGGAGTATTAATGACTGGGGTGAACTTACCTCAATCCCTGAGGTTGACCAATCTCGAATGTATTCAACTTTAGTTGCAAATGTTAATAGACTTGCCAAAGAGCGGGATGATTTATCTCAAAGAGTTGTTGAATTGGTTCTAGAAATAGAAAATCTTAAATCAAAAGGACCCGTTGCCTCTTTATCTCATTCCCACCATCATCGTAACCGTCACCATTCCTCTCATCATTCACACCACCATACACCTTCATCTTTACCTCCATCACCGAGCAGTACCACTGGAAGTGCTACTTTACTTGCCTCCTCTCCTCCTCCTGTTGGCACTGATGGACTAATCTCAACCAATAATGCATCTTTGTACAATTCATATTCATCATCATCAGTATCTAGCCTTTTAACCATCAACAATAATGAATCTCGGTCTCATCTGGTTGTTGAATTAGCTGAAGCAAAATCAAAATATCGTAAAGTTGTTGCTGAATTGGAAGAAAAATCTGAGCTGGTTAACGAATTGAAAGAAAATTTAGAGCAAAGCAAAGAAACATGCAATAAACTTCGTTCAGAAAATCTTGAATTGATTCAGGAGGCTCGGTCAGCGAAGGCGTATCGAGATGAAATTGATGTTCTTAACGAACGTGTACGGAAAGTTGATCGCCTTGAAAATGAAGTTCAAAGGTATAAAGATAAAATAAATGAATTAATTTTCTACAAATCACGAGTTGAAGAAATGAGGGAGGACAATCGTATACTTACCGAAACGAAAACAATGTTGGAAGAACAATTGGAATGTAGTCGAAAGAGGTCAGAACAGATTCCTGAATTGGAAGCTCAACTACTTCAACTTCGAGCCTACTCTAATGAATTGCAGTTTCAAAGAGATATGGATCGAGATAAAATTGAATCCTTAATGGAAGAAGTTGCCTCACTTCAGGTTGAAAAGAAATCTGTTTTTGAAGAACTGGCCCAAGTTCAGAAAGAAATGAATAGCCTGAGATGTCAATATACTGCCATAGAGCCTGTTGTCTCACCAATTGGCCTTGAATCTAACCTATTTGAACAGCTCAACAATGATGCTGCTAAACGAGTCCTTAAACTTGAATTAGAGAATCAAAAGTTACACTCGCTGGTTGAAAATATACGTAACAAAGATACATCAGTGACATTAATGAATAGTGGTAATTCAAAGCTACATAATCAATATCAAACTTCAAGTTTAGATAGTTTTTCATCATCATCTGCTTCTGAAAAAGGAGATACAACCTTACCTAGCCAATTATTAGATGACGGTCTGAATTATTCTTCACCAGTTTCCGGTAATGATTCAGGTTGTGTTTCTCTTGTTGGGGAACTCAATTCAAGACTTGAAAGAATGGAGAAAGAAAACTTACGCCTTAAAGGAACTATTGAACAATTGCGTGAATGTGAAGCTCGCATAATGGAATTGGAATCCACTAAAACTGGTCAGGAAAAAGAGTTGTCAACAGTGCGAGATAATTTACAAAAAGAAATCTACAAAACAGAAACTTTAGAACGTTCATTGTCTAATTTAACCACAGATAATTCAAGGTTAACTAGACAAGTTGAACATTTATCTAAACGGTTAGAGGATTGTTCACAAGAAATTCAAGCACTGGAAGGTGAAAATAGTAAACTTCAAGGTACCGCTGCCTCTTTACGGAATACTGTTAAAAGATTGAATGATTTAGAGAGAGAAGTTACTCATTTGGAGGCTGAAAATCATCGTCTTGAACAGGAAAGAAAGTCAAATGAAAAGGAGATAACAAGATTAAAGCAAGCTTTGGAAGCCAAAGATTCATTAATTGATGAACAAGCCAATAAGGTTTCCTCTCTTGAATTAGAGAAGAAACAATTGTCCAAAGAATTGGACTCTATTAATGCCAATGCAATCCATGCAAGAGAACTGGAGAAAGAGAAACAAGAGCTTGTCGGTGATTTGGCAGTTTGTAAAAAATCCTTAGCAGCTCTTCGACAAGATTTAGTTGATGAAAAAATTAAATCTCAAAGTCTTACCAGTGAAATGGAACGTATTCATTATGCTATGAGCCAAATGAGCCTTAAATCATCATCTCCATCATCTCCATCATTGCTATTATCAAATGATAGTTCACAAAGCTTTGACCTACCACCTTTTTCACCGGCCAATATTGGTAAAACAGATTGGTCCAACGTTTTGGAAAACCTTGTAGATAATATGATTAGACGAAATCTGGAAATGAAAGAAAGCCGAATATCTGCTCTAGAAAATAATCTAAAGGAAGTTGAATCTCGTAAAACCAAGTTGAAAGATGAACTTTCTGCAATGAAAGAAAAGATCTCAAAAAGTCAAATAGTAACCGACAGTAAAGGTTTAGAGTCCAGCCTTGATGTTATGATTGAGGAAATGGAGAAGCGTCTAAAAGTGGCTGAAGAAGAGAATAAACTATTGCGTGGAGATAATTTATCTTTAAAAGAAGAAAAAGATCAACTCAAAGAACAGGTCAAAAGTTTACAAGAGAAGTTGAATGCATGTCTCGTGAGAGCAATGATTTGCATTCGGGTACGGCTCAGACTCAAGTTGAAAATAGTTTGCTGTTGGCTCAACGGACATCATTGTCCTTCCAAACTGCCCATCTTCAGGCGGAAATACGACTTTTGGAAGAGTGTCGAGACTCTATTGAGGAGAAGTACAAAGAATTGGAAGAAAGTTATCAATCATTGATCAACGATCACCAATCATTACAAAGTTTACACCAGCAATTGGTTACCGATTATGAATCTCTATTAGCTAATCATAACTCTCTCAAAGCAAGCTACAAGTCACTCAAATCGGAGCATAAAGAGACTAAGGAAAAATTGGACGTTTGGCTTTTATCCAATGAAGAGTTGAAAAGGATGTTGAAAGATGGCAATGACTGCGGAAAATGTAAAAAGATGACTGATGAGAACACTAAACTGTCAGATGAGAAGAAACAGTTGTTGGAAGATTATCGTCGAATTGAAACTGAATTTAAAATGCTTCAAAACATTTATAAACAATTGCGAAAGGAAAACAATGAGCTGAAACTTCGTCATACTGAGCTGGAAGGTGAAACAGCTGAATGTCGCCAATCAATGTCAAGCTTACAAGTTGAAGTTTCCAAGCTCTCAAATTACTGTGAATCGCTTGGTTCAAGTAGTAATTTGCTTGAAGAACAACGTCGAACGTTAATTGGTAATGTTATCAATCTTTTAAGTCAATATCATATTTTAATCAGTGAAATGGCTTCCGATAATGTTCAATCAAAAGATCGAATTGCTGAACTTGTTACCAAAAAGGAACGCCTTGAAAGAATGATTCGAGATTATGATACAATGTCGGAAAGAGAGAGGAAAAAAGTTGGACTTCGCAGTGAAACCAATGGTAATCGGATGTCAATGAGTAGACACAGTCTTAATGGTTCTGTCAACAATGAAGATGACAATAGATTTGGATCTAATGATGCCGCTAATCATGGAATGAACGATGAAAATAATTCATCATCCGCCTTTTTCAGAGTCATTAGCTCTAAACAACAAATTGCAAGTCCGACTAGTACTTCCGGAATTATAAGCAATAACAACTCTAGTTTAACCTCACCTATCAGTGAATTGACATCACCACTATCATCAACCTCTTCAACATTAACTAAATCCAACACGCCTACCACAACTAGTAGTAGCCACAACACAACATATTACGACAAGCTTTGGCAACCCTTAACCACGGTCAATGCCAGTGCCATAACGACGTCCTCTAGCTCCACCCCGTCAAATATATCAGTCAAAAAGCCATCAACACCAACCTCATTAATGTCAACCCCATCATTAGCTCAAACTTCATTAGCAGCAACAGCAACACCCTTGTCAATGATTTCCCGGTCTCGGAGGGAGAATCCAATTGGAGGAGAAAACACGGGAATTAATAATGAATCGCGTCGATCTATTGGAATTGGTAATGATGGTAACAACGATTCACATCCACCAAGATTACCTCCTCGCCATAACATGGTAACAGCTCAGGTTGATAATAGAATGACAATTAACGTAATTACTAGTCCTTTGGGTAACTCGCGAGTCCCATTACCTGGTGATCCTTCAAGCTTGACACCTCCTTTACCTAAATCGGCAACTTGTAACTTTGTCCGAAGTACTTTCCGATCCAGTAGTATTAACATGGGATCTCCTTTAAAACGTTGCTTCAAAGATGATCATAATCTTGTCCCAGTATCTCCTGTTGCTCAAGCACACCCTCATTATGGTGAAATTTTATCTCCAAGTGGATTACGAGGACCACATCATCATCATCATCTTCATCTACATCATCCTCATGCACACCTACACCTTGCATCATATTCAAATGAACCTTCCATCCATTCAGATGAGGAATCCGATTTATTGGGGGCAACAACCGGTGACAGGTTATTGACCAACAGAACTTTAGGAGCTGGTTCATCGAATCACCATCACCATCATCACCATCATCATCATCATCTCATGAGTGGAGGAGGAGGAGGCGATGACGATCAAAATAACCAAGGACAGAATGACTCTGACAGTACGATTAATGAAAACAACTCACTTAACAATTCAACATGGTATGAGTATGGATGTGTTTAAAGAAAACAATTAAAGCAACTTGAAATCATGATTAACAATCCATTACTCATATACTAGAGTAACATATTTCCATAAGTACATATTCATCAACAAATGAAGATCAAAATTAGCGAGCCATAATTTAAGACACCGTGATATTTGAAAGATAATTTTTATTTAAACCATTTTTTCTCGCTTGAAAATTTTGCCTTTTTTGCTTCTTAAATTTTAAACAAGAAACAAATTAACTTTCTTTGCCTTATTTTACAACAATTTTGTCTGCTTCAACTGAGACCATTAAAAAGACCAAAACCAAGAAACAAAATTACTCATAAACAAAACCTGTTATCAGTTTTGTCATGGTGCATTTGAAATCCGGATACGGACCAGAAGCAGTCACCCAACCGTCAATGAATATTTGCTGCCACATTACTGTAACTCATCCCTTTCATCTTCATCTTCAGTCTTTTCCAATTTCCCTCTCTATTTACCATTCACTCTCCTTACAAACACTTTAGTTACATGATGAAAGTCTAAATTCTGGGGTAAATTACTATCATTGAAATATGATTATAGAATCTGCTAAAGTATAATTTACAAGTTTAGTTAATGTGAACCATTTTACTAACCATAATTGAGAATAATTGTTGCAAAATAATGATGGATGTGAATCTCAGTTTAACCCTTAAATCTCGATAAGTTGATTGAATGAATGTAAACATGCAAACCAAACAAGAAGATCTCAGTTGATCAAGCAGCAAACGCTCCATTGATTCAAGTCTACAAATGCAAAAAGGATGAAAATGATATGCAGTCAACAGTCAAAAAAACAAAAAAGATGTTTAAATTACGATGAAAAATGCTTTACTACAAAAAAAAGATGAATCAAGCAAATCAACAGGAAGATGAAACAAAGATCTCATATTCATTTAGTTCAATTGTAGGTTTCGTTGACAACTCTGGTTAAAACGCAATGACAATTACGAGTTGCTTGTGAGTCTTTTTTTCACTCAAATGCAAACCAATAAATTTTAAAAAAAATATCCAACTAAAGATATAATTATGACAAAGATAACAATTTTTGCGATGTTTATTTTTTAGATATGATATTACATCTATTAATATTCATGTTTAAATGTATATCATTCCCATTTCACTTGGTTTGTCTCATCTTTTTTAAATGCCTCCCAACCTTTTATTGTCAAATCAAGACAATTGTTGTTTCATTCCTTGACCAATAAATCAAATTGATTGTGACTAAATTGAAACTATATTGTAACTCGTATTTCATTTAATCGTGATGCACTTGCATTGAACTATCAATTTGAATACAAGGACAACTTGAGTCAGCATTGATCATAACTTTTCAAACTCTGATTATCATTGAATAAGATTTTTTGTTCAAACTCTGTTTCACTCAGTTATATCCATTGTTGTAAATTTACGGTTGATTAGACAAATCAATTTAGTCTGACGTTACCTGAACTACCTTGAATCAAAACTGTTACATTTGTATTGTTTATCAACAGTAATCAGATTAGGATACAAAACAATGTGCTGTTGCCATTCACCAAACTTCATCTGATGATTTAAATTTATATTAAAATTATTATAGAAACCGGATTCACAGTTTGACTTTTAATTTAGTGCTAATTAACTTATGATTTCTCAGTATTTCTTTTTGATCATCAGCAATCAAGAATACGTCAGATGATTTTTTCATCAGAATTATAAGGCAAACAAAAAAAGATCCGTTCAGTATCCTTTTCCCATGTTAAAAAGTCTTTCTATCGAGATTTTATGTTAAATTGTGGCTTGATTGTCATTAAATAGTTATAATTAAATATCAATTTCTTGTACATTACATTGAATAGATCTTGAGCTTTAAATTAATGTTAACTTTTCTACAGTTATTGATTGTTAATCATTCAAAATTGCCAATCTAAAAATTGAAAAATCTAAAAATGATCATTTGAATATAAGTGAAATCTAATGGTGAAAGCTAATACATCAATTAATTGCTAGCATGAAATCAATTAAATGATTTTTACTATTTTAATTTTCTGTATCTGTGTAGTATCTAATTACAAATCAAAAATTTTGATTAATTTAAAAGTTTGATTAAAGTACTGATGAGTGGATTGTACCAGGTTAAACTCAAAGTAATCATCCATTATTGTTGTTATACCTGAGACCCAAAAGTAAGGTTATATTTCAGTTGTAAATTGTAAATCTTTTATCAATATTTTGCTGCAAATTACAAGATTAATAGTCAGAAATTCAATTTCATCTTGATTGAAGGGTTTGAACGCAATTTCATTTTGAAACGATGATATGTAATCGCGAGTCCATATTTGGAGCGTTTCCAGTTTTCATGATTTGCATCGAAGAAAAGGGCATTTTGCTGATACTTGAGGGTCTCAATCAAAATTATCCATAAATTTATTTCAGTTGAATATCCATCCAAAAATTTGTATCACTGCAATTGGCCTAATGATAAAGCTCCGATGAAGTTCAGGCAATGATATAATTTCATGAGCCAATGTGAAGGTTTAGAGCTGCTTGCTATATGATCTAGTATTAATGCCAGATGAAAATATGATAAATTGAAATTAGAAACACCCGAACGATATTCACTATCAGCAAAGACAATAGCGAATGGGGATTTTGAGAATTCAATCAGATAATCCAATCGCAAGTTCGTTTCTTTGATATTAAAATATTATCTTCAACAAAAGCGAAAACTGAAATGAAAAAAAGATATAAATTCCAATATAAATGTGTACATCATGACAATTTTGCAGATACTATTTATGAAATCGTTATAATTTGTAATAATAAATTTTCGAACTGGAGTGACTTGAATCCAACATGATCAACACTATTTTCAAATTTTTGATTGTTTGTGCGTTAACGCATTCATTTTCTTGCCTCACTTTAGATGAAATTGACCAATCTGATATTCAACAGATAGTTGAAGCTCGTGGTTTTATATGTGAACCTCATAACATAGTAACAAGTGATGGTTACATATTGGGCAATTATCGTATTGTGAATCCATTTGCTCCAAAATATTTTGATAAACCTTTGAAACCTGTACTTATTCAAAGCGGATTTCTAGGTTCAGCGGTTGACTTCATTATTAACTCTCCATATGGTCAGCTTGATGAAAATATCTTAGCTAACTTTACGGATTTGGATTCAATTGATTTTGATTTAGTTGGAAGAGATTTGGGTTTCATTTTAGCTAATTTAGGTTATGATGTATGGTTGACCAACCCAAGAGGTAACTATTATTCATCTAATCACACCACATTGGACCCAGAAGCAGGTAATGAAAAGCATCATTGACGAATAGTTGCCCATAACCCAACTCTGATCGCTTGATCTTTTATCATATATTGTAGATAAGAAAAAGTTTTGGTCCTTTTCACTTGATGAAATGGCTTTGATTGATTTACCAGCAATGATCGATTATGTTCTCAATAATACTGGACAAAGTAAGTAACCAGAAACCAAAAGAGGACAAACAAACTTAATGTTGAGTTTACATTTCGACAGGTTCACTTGGTTACATTGGATTTTCACGAGCAAGTTTGGTAATGTTTGCATTGTTATCAGAAAAGCCTGAATATTCTGATAAAATATCACCATACATCTCATTGGCACCACCAGTTTATTTAACCAATGTCAACTCTCCAATCAAGGCTTTGGCTTCAACCAAATTTGTTGCCAATTTTATTCGTGATCATCCTGGATCTTGTTTTAATCGAGCAGTTACCCAAGTAGCTGGAGTATGCAATAACATCTTAATCAAACCTATTTGTGACATAATTAAGTTAAACTTAGTTTCAATAGATAGAGAAACAGCAAATGCAACTCGAGTAGATATTTACCTTTCTCATCTTCCCGCTGGAGCCTCATGTTGGGATTTCATTCACTTTGCTCAAAGAATGATAAATCCGGAATTCACTCGTATTGATTTGGGTCCTGATGCTAACATGAAAAGATATGGATCCAAAACACCACCTAAATACAATTTGAAAAACATTGTTAATCAAAATATTGCAATATTTCATTCAACTGGTGATACAACCGCTAATCCAGCTGATGTAAAACGATTAATCGATGAATTGGAAGGTAATTGTTTTTTTTTAATCAATTGAACTTTGCATTTAAGCAAAAGTCACATAACAATCAGGATAATAATTGTATCGTTTTCATTTTTCGTTTACAGTTCCACTGATTGAAAGAGTAACTATTGAAGATGAAAAATTTTCTCATTTGGATTTCCTTTTCGATAATAATATTGGTCATTTGGTGAACAAACCAATTGCTAAAATTTTAGCAAAATACAGATAATTAAAGGAGCTAATTGTAATTAGATACATTTTTTGATAAATTATTTATTTATTGAAATAAAAATACATTACTAGACACAAGATAAGCAACTAATGTCCAATGTCAAGATTGATCAACACCTAAACTTGCAGCATTATTGACAAGATTCATATTCCAACCTGATTCAAACCATAATCCAATTTCTTCAGCTGAATTTGATGTGAATATCTTCTGCAACTAGAATAAAATTTAAACGTTTGATATGAAAATATGATTTCAAAAAGTGAACATTAACTCTTAAATCGGCAAACTAAATCTACTTGGTAAATCTGCTTTTATTATTTTAAATTCGTCGACAATTCAGCGTTTCAAATTGAAAGTGAAACATTTCGTTCTCAAGATCATCTTCATCTATCAAAGTCATTAATTTTTTGATTATAATGATTAATCATATGATTGCTTATAATCATCACATGAACAATTGTTGATTCAATTCAATCTTTTGATTGAGATAGTTGTATTTGATTGTTTTCAGATCAAATAAATAGTCGAAAGAAAAAAGTTAATTGGGTTTACTTATGATGCCATCTAGGAAATTTTCTTGCAACTTGTAATTTTCGAGGTTAAAGTTTCATTGTTCAATAAGGAATCCTTATAACAATTGACAAATCATATCACAAATTGTTGTATATTAATATGGATAAATCTTGCAGTAGGTGAAAAACCAATAGACTGCAACTATCCATGTAAGAAATGCGTGTTTATTTCATTTGCCAGAAACAAAGACAAACATTTTGATCGATCAATAGTTAAGTTTGAAGTAATTTCAAGCTGATTTACCAAAAAATCGAGGAGTTCATAAAAAGGATCATTCGGACATTTTTTTGTCCTTTTTACATTTAATAAGTTCGTCTCATTTGTCTGGTTTGATTTGTTGTTACTAAATTTTTACAAATGACCAAACTTGAGCTTTTACCAGTTTAAACACTGATTGTTCACAGAAACATTTATAAAATATTTCTTTTCATATAAATGTACTCATTTTTTGTATTGAGATAATAAATTAAGATTGTTTCTTTGCCAAGAATAGTGAAGTAAGAAATGCCGAAATAATAGTTCCTGAAATAGTTGCGATAAATCCGAGAAACAAAGTGAGATAAAAGTGAGGATGCTCTTCAGGTTTATCGAGTGGTAAAGATCTTTGGACATGATCGTTATTCCTTAAAATGCTGTAAACTGAACAAAAATCACTTGTCTTCTTGATATGTTCATCCTGTGTTAATATTTGTTCACTTGAAAGTCGACATCTTCTAAGTATATTTGGTGATCTGGTTTCATCAGTAAATTGACAATATTCAAATGAAAAACAATTTTCTTGAACAGAGCTACATGCTGAGGCACAATTTTCCAGTGAATTTTGCTCAATAGTTGCGATAACCGAGTCATGACCAGAAAATTTTCTGCCAATAAATTGACTATAATCTTTAGAGAGTTTTCCTGAAAATAACAAAAAATATAAATCAAGCTATAAATTTCAAATCGATTTCAATTCATACTTACTCGCATAATGATTACAAGATTTTTCCTCATTATTCCATATTTGTAATGAGCTTTTTGCCAAAACATTAGCATCAGAATGAAAGTTATAGAGATAACAATGAGTGTTGCTACAAGACCAATGAAAAATTTATGAAATATGATACCATCAAGAAAAAGGTCAACTTACATTAAATCTGGTGAGCAATGATCAAAGGCATCACAATTGAATGACTTCTCATTCATACATGCTTTAGCACAATCTTCAGGTGATTTTCCCTTAATTTCACGTAAAGCTGGTTTTCCAAGACTTCGTCCCGGTAATAAGTCAAAATTGCCAATGTAAGATTCTGTGTAAAACAAAATATCATTGAATCAAAACAGTTACACATTATTCAAAGTAGTCTTCTTACTTTCTGAAATGGAGCAACGGTCGTTTAATTCAGTATATTTAGTTGAATTTGCAACAATTTCATCAGCTGATAATGAACTAATTATACATTCCCCACTTCCAGTGGCACAATATGAGATTGTTGAACAATCATCATCATTTTGACAGTAAGTCAAACAGTCAATGTGTGCTAAACCAAATAGTTGGTTATTACCAATCAGCTCATAACTGTCCATGACTATTTTGTACTCATTTAACTGCATCCTTTGACCCACAACATCCTTATACATTTCACCATAACCACCTAGTTCATCTGGATGGGAAACTGTGAATAAATGTTGAGCACTTAACCACACTGTGTCAATTTCTAGGTTCAACTCCTGTTGTTGAATCATCAAATTAATCATATGTAACAACTTGGATGTGCTAGCAATCTGGTTTAGTTGATCTTTTTTCTCGTCACTTTCAATGTTGAGCGTCCGAGAAACAAACAAAGTACAATTTGCCTTTACGATTGGTAATGAGATCGTTTGAGACGAGGCGATATTGAATAAATTACATCTTCTATTGTGACAGTAAGAGAATGCGTGACAATCAGGATTATCGGAACATAAAAATGAACAGCTCTTGTCACTGTCTTCAATTTCACTTGAACTTGGGTTAAGAGATAATGTTGAGTCGATATATTCCAATCTTATATCTACACCTTCCAACAGACCAACAGTGACATAAATGCTCGGTCCATAATGACCAACTTTTATCACAGGTAATCGATTAATCGGAATAAAATCAAGCTTTTTACGTAATTCACTTTCCAATAGATAATCCAAGTATTTTATGGAAAAGAGTCCACGTGGTACAACTGGGAATACAATCTGAAGCCATGTGGGTTCTTTATTGAAGCAGTTTCTCAAATCAAATCTGGAAGGATCATCAGTAAATCCATCAATGCTATCCTGATATGTGATCCAATATTCCCGATGACTTTTTCCATTAAACTGCAACATTCTGATCTTTATTGGCCTCTTCTTGACACCAGTAGGAATGAAATAAGTGATTATGGTTGGACCAATTGCAGCATCTGTAAGCCAAAAATTGTCGACTGATTTTTCAAAGATTTCATAGTTGATTGATTCCAATCGTTCAGCTCCAAAATAGTTTAAATCGTGTCTCTCCAATTTCAACAATGACGGTGAAAGAAGGTTGTTTGTAAAATATTTCCTATCATAAGGCCACCTCAGGTAACTTCCTTTAACCAAAATAGATTCCGTAAAATAGCAGTGGTCAGTTGAGCGATCAATGATGTAGTCAATCAATAAACTTGGAACATGAATTATCCTTAATGGAGGATCACCAGATACATCATATGAAAAGATTCCGTTGTGTTTCACCATGCTTATTGAATCAATGCTGTTGTAATAAAGATTGGCTTCCATTTTGAGTATGAAAGAAGGCGATTCAACAGCTAATATTGGCACCACTTGGTCATATTTCAATGGTCTTTTACACCCAAACCCATAAGGAAGGTGTAAACCAGGTTTAAAGATCAATTTCTCAAAAGACCAGATTGATTTGAACGTTTCATAGGAGAATGAATTTTCCTTTGTGAGTAAAAACGCAGCAGGTCCAAGTGCACCATCAGTGATATTAGTAGGTAAGAAATCTGCCCATTGTCGAACGATGTCCTGTTTCTTTTCTGGCGTTAAATCAATTGAAGTACATGTATCATTGCCATAAATAATGAAAGCTTCGTTTGATGATAGATCATAAAAATATTGCTTGGCAGAATTTCGTCTTGTAATCGTAATTGTTCCTCTTCTAGTTGACCCATCGTAATAATCATCCATTGCAATTATACCGTATGTTCGTAACATTGGTTGTTTAATGTTATCATCATTTTCAATCGGGAAAACTTTGTAATGGTAACCATTTTCCGATCCTTTGGCATCGATTGGATAAAGTGAAGCTTCAATTAAACATAACAAGATAATAATTTAATATAAATAAGCATAATCAAAAGTCAATTGACAACTTCAACCATTGATGCAACTAAAAACAAACTGAATAATGAAAAACGAAACAAGTGGATCTAGTGAATTAAATGATTAATGGATCTTATACTTGTTTTATTGGATACATTTATCTAAATCAAACTGGATAAGCAATTGCGTTGTAATTTTTTTGCATCACCTCTAGCAATAGATTTGAATCATGATACTTAAATTAAATTTGCATCATTTTCACTAAACACAAGTTACGTTTTTCATATAAAATTAGTAAAATACACGATTTATACCTTGACAGTGAAAAATAATACAAACATCTTTTCTTTTACAAATGATTTACATGAATCTAAGTTGCAGCAAGTTCAGCCTGACACTATTTTAAAATAGTCTGATTTACTTCAAAATCAAATCTCTTTTTTTAATCACATGATTTGAGTTTTAAATGAGTATGAGTAATGAGTATTAAAAATCAGCGTTTAAAATAGTATCTTGCACCAATAATGCCAATAACGAAGGCACAAATAAACATGGAACAACTTAAAAAGATGAACATCCATATTTTTGAGGAACTTTTGTCTGCTTCTGATTTTTCGGAATGACTAGTTAGGTAGATTGAACACTTTTCCAATGAATTTTCTATCGATTGACTAGATTTTGAATTGGGTTTTGATGAAGACAGGCGACATTTAGATGTTATTTGTCCCGATTGGGTTTTAACTTCGCAGAAATCATACGATTCACAGTTACCAGAAGTTGAACAGCTACCGGCACATCGCTCCAAAGATATTCCACTTGTTTGAACCAAGATTGAATCTTTCATATTGTCATTGAATTTCAATCCAATGAGCTGCTTATAGTCTTTGGAGAGTACCTCTATAAGAATAGATTGAGAAATTATTAGAAATTAATACAAATAAATCACAAAATAATGTTTGTAAATAAGATGAAGATGATAACTTACTAGCATAATGATCACATTTAGTTTCATTAAAATTCCAAACTTTTCCATCAATAGTACTGCTTGTGTCTTTGGCGATATGAAAATTATGAAGGAAACATGCTTTGATCTTCTTGGACCCTCTAGATTATATAGGAATAGAAAGAATGAGTTTGATAAAAGTATTGAAAAACTCAATCTTACTTTTGATTCAATCCAGCTTCTGGGCAATAATCAAAGGATTCACATGGTTGCGATGTAGACTGGGCACAGATTCGCGCACATTCATCTTTACCAGTGTTTTTCAGTATTTGCTCTGCATCCAAAATTAAACTGCGACCAGGAAATTTCCTGAAATAAGTCAAATATGACTCTGCCGAAAAAAATAATTAATTCTCAGCTTAACAAACGTGCAAGATCAAGAATTTATAGTTATAAAATAATTGAGAAATTTCTTCAAGTTAATTTCCTTTTGAAGATTATTGTTAACTTACTGGATAAAATGTTACATCCTTTACTCAAAGCGGTCGAGTCTTCATTAACATCCTGTGTTGAATTGCCTAAAATACATTCTCCTTTCCTCGATGAGCAAAATGAGACAACCAGGCAGCTATCATCATTATCACATTCAGTTAAACATGACAAATAGTCTAGTCCCAATACAGCATTTCCTTGTAATAACCGACGGTTTGATAAGACTACTTGATAGTGATCACCAACACTTGAAATGATATCATCAACTTCATCATCACCAAGAATTGAATCAGGGTCACCAAGTTGATCAGGACCAGAGACAATGAATAAAAATAAAGCAGATAGAGCTGGTTCTTTGAAATTGAAATCTCCATTAGTTATTTTGGCCTTTATTTCATGAATCAAGCTTTTGGATGATTTGAGGAAATTTGATTCAACCTCAGTTTTGGGATTAACGAAATAGTTATTTCTTCCAAATCCATCACAGTCACTTGTTTCAACAATCTGAGGATATGTTGATTTTTTTTGACTGAAAATACGACACTCTAGATTGTTACAGTACGCAAAATTAGTACAATCTTCATCCTCAGCACAAACCTCTCCACAGTCTTGTTCATGATCACGTAAAATGATTCTAGAGGGATTCGAAATTGTAAAACCAGGAGTTTTGTAAAAATCGTATTCATAGCTGGGTCGCTCGATTAGTTTACAAGTTATGTAAATCATATTTCCAATGAAGGAAACTCTTATGTCCGGTAACCTAACCATAGGAATGAAAGAAAGGGCTGATCGAATTTTTTCTTTCAAATATTCATCTTGGTTCATCCATGATGCAAGATCCGTTTGTCTACCAGAAAAAACAATCTGGAACCAGGTGTAATCCCCTTGTCCATTAAAACAGCCAGATATATCAAATCTATTTTCAAAATCAATGGAACTTTCATGATAGCTTATAACTTTGACTTCAATTCTATTTACCAACTCATCTGACTTAAACTGGGACAACTCTCTACCTGGTTTGATTATGATTTTTGTGGGAGCTTGATTTCTAGTCGATACTCTTTTGTCATATGAAGCAGGAAAAAAGTAAGTTATTATCGCACTATATTTGGAGCCATCAAGATAAAAGAAGTTTACTGCTTGCTTCTCGAATACATCCAAGCGACCAGTTTCTGATCTAATCTGGCCCATGTAGCTAACTGATCCCAAGTTCATAACGGAATCATCAAGAATATTGAACTTCTCCTTATCAAAGTATGGCCATCTTAAATAAGTAAACCCATAACCAACACCAACAGAGGCTTGTCCTTCAACGCACGTTCCAGTTAGAGGATCCACTTGGAAATCAATCAAAAGTTTTGGATCATGAATAATTCGTTTAGTGATTCCATTTTCCTTGAGATCATACGAATAAATTCCTTGATACTTCACGATTCTAGCAGTTGTAATTGCTGATCGATCTGGCTCAGTGAAAGAAAGAGCAGCCTCTAAATCCAAATTGAAAGTATCTGATTGGGCAAATATTGGAGTTGGAACACTGGTGGTCACAGTTCGCTTGCATCCATATCCATAAGGATAAGTAATGAGATCGCTGGGTTGATTAATGAGAGGCTCAAAGTTGATAATGTTAATTGTTGTCGTTAAAGTCGGATTATCGGGATAACTGGAAACTAATCGAACCGGAATGTCATTGGTATCGAAATAAACATCAAAGTAGGGTCCATCATCGTGTAAACAATAGAACCAGGAATTACATTTACGACCATCGAGATCAACTGTTCCAGTATATTGAAGATCATTAGATTTACTTGCCAAATAGAGAAACAGTAATATTGGGCCTAAATTTTTTGGATCATCAAAGATGGAAGTCTCATCTGGGAGACTATTAAAAGCAAGCCATTCACTGATTATCGACTTCTTGGTTTGATCGTTCAATGTACTGACGGTACATGATTGGTCACTATCAATGTAGAAAAATTCCTTGGATTCTAAATAATACCAAAAGCTCCTTTGCTCGTTTCCGACATCATCATTCAGTTTTATCAACCCAAATGAATTTTGACTATTGAAAGACTCTTCAACTTCAAGTAAATGGCCAGCTCCATTAACCAATTCGATTCTCGCATGGTATCCAGTCTGACCAGCTACCAGCAATGATACTCGGGGAATTTGCGCTTCTCCTGGCACAGTTTTGGCAGGACATTTAAATGTTTCACAAAAGGCTGGAGAAATCGAAAAAAATAAAATTACTAAAGTTGTAAAAGCACATAGACCATTCACATGTTTCATGTTTCTGATTAAATTTCAACGAATAAGTATTAATGAGTAATTTTAAACTCACAATATTCTAAGCTACCGTTTAAGCTGTTTATGATTCATTACGAAATCAAGAAAATTGGGGCGTAAAAAGTAATCGAAATCAAAATATCCATAATCAGCCTCAACAATATAGCAATCTTCAAACGCGAGATATGGAAAATGTTTGGTTATCAGTCTTTTGGTAAACCCAACATTGTAATGTGAATTTATTTGCTAGTCAAACTTAATACTTTGAGTGAAGGGAAATTTTTCCTCAATGAAATTTATAATAAAAATGAATGAAAACGCTTAATCCAATAATTTTAGCAAATCTCTTTGATTAGTAAAATGTAATTACAAATAATGAAATGCCATCATAGGCTGAATCTGTGCTGAGTGAAAATGATAGTGTAACAAATGTAAATACAAAGAAAAAATGTAAATGAATGCAAAGGAAACAATAAAGCTGAAGGGTACAAAATTTTAAATTAACAAGCCAATTGACTTTTTGCTGAATGAATAATTAAAATGAACTCTTATCAATAACGATCACAACTGTATTTATGGAAGTTTGGAAAAATTATGACTTACCAGGAATTGGAGTACCAAGTTGTCGCTTCAATTGTTTTCATGGATTTTTATATCAGGATATGAATTGATATCACAAATTCAATCTTTACATGTAACACCCATCACAACCTTGGTAAACACGGTAGATATTACAACAAAGAATTGATCGAGAGCTAACAATAATTAGCATCTAGAAGAGAGAGATTGTTAATTACTATTGATGATAAGAAAAAAACAAAAATTAGCACAAAACCAAGACATTTTGTTTTTCTTCTCATCAAGGTCCAAACAAAAGTTGCAGATGATTAGATGAAATATAAAGAGCAAAAAACGGCGCAACTAGAAAGAGGGGAAAAAGAGAAGCATTGATGTAAATAAATGTAATCACCAGCAAATAAATTAAAATGTTTGTTACCTGATCAAGTTGTGTTTAGATGTTATGATTACTGTCAATTGGAATCAACAATAAAGAATTGTTTTATGCATAATCATCTTGACAATAACTGTACAACATAAGTCTAATCAGTTGATGTTTGAAACCTAACATTAATCTCTTTCTCTCTTTTGTTCTTTTTGCTTTCTTTTCTCCTTCTCTCTCTCTCCTTTGTCAGATCAAATAGTGTTTTTAATTATTTTGTGAAATCAGTTCTTCAACTGTGAATCATTTTTGGTTTCTTGTTGTTGTATTGGAACAATAAGTGTTTAACCCAACCGTTTGTTTTTTTCCTGTGTTTGAATTGGTGTCTAAGAGGTTATCCACAATGGGAAGCTTATTAAGAGGTGAAGAAATGAAGCTTTGTCAACTGTTTTTACAATCAGAGGCAGCTTATTTTTGTATTGCTGAATTGGGTGAACTTGGTTTGGTTCAATTTCGAGATGTAAGTTGCTAATTATTTATCTGCACCATGTTTTCAATGTGTTCCAGTGTTACTTCTGTTTACCCTTCCAACATTATATTTTTCTGGTTTATCGGAGCCATTGGATAATATTTAAACAAAAAAACTTATTTTCGTTGAAAAATCGTATCTAACTTGAACTCTTTTGATAATTGTGTTTCCAGCTCAATCCTGATGTATACTTATTTCATAGGAAATTTATTAGTGAAGTCATGCGATGCCAAGAAATAGAAAGAAAGTTAAGTTAGTATTTATCACACTTGTGCCTATTTTTCTGGTTAATCCTTTAATATGATCTTTTTTTCTAATAATGTTTTCCTTTTACTGTTCAACAGATATCCTTGAGAAGGAAATTAAAAAAGATGACATACCCATTTGTGATAAAGGTGATGTTCCTGAGACACCACCACCACGAGAGATGATTGATCTGGAAGCTACATCGGAAAAAATGGACAATGAATTGAAGCAAGTTAATTTCAATATGGAAGCATTAAAGAAGACATTTCTTGAGCTGTGTGAATTTCGACATATTCTTGAGAAAACCCAACAATTTTTCCTTGAGGTTGTTTCAATTACTGATTTTCATCGAATCTTTGAGTGATTGATTTTCAATTTGACGATTTTTATATTCTCAATAGATGCAAGGAACTGGAGTTGGTGAGGATTGGACTCAGTTAGCGGGCGATGACGCTTTAAATCTTTCAATTCATTCCCACGTCAAATTAAAGTGAGTGAAAATACTGCATGCTTCTATAAAAAGACAGATTATCTCAAATTATCTTACCCCAATCAATTAAAACCATTCTAACAATAATAAACATAACTAATTGAATCTTTCTGGAGGTCTATTAGAATTGTTTTACGATAATTGATCTGGTTGTTTTTAAACCGCCTCTCTCCCAATTTTATTTTTGATTAGTTTTGTATCAGGTGTCATTCGTCGAGATCGATTACATGCATTTGAAAGGATGCTTTGGCGTGTCTGCATGGGTAATGTTTTCGTGCGTCAAGCATTCATTGATGATCCTCTGGAAGATCCCATTTCAGGAGATTATGATTACAAATCAGTATTCATCATATTTTTTCAAGGAGAACAACTAATGACAAAGATTAAGAAAATTTGTGAAGGATTCCGGGCCTCTCTCTATCCATGTCCTGAATCATCTGTAGCCAGAAAGGATATGATTAACAATTTGAATTCAAGAGTAAACGAGCTGAATATTGTTCTTAAACAAACCACTGAACATCGTTATCGCGTATTGGCTGCAGCTGCTAAACACCTTAATACTTGGAAAACAAAAGTCAAAAAAATCAAAGCAATCTACATGACACTCAATTTATTTAACCTAGACCTTACAAGGAAATGTTTAATCGCTGAATGTTGGTGTCCAGTGAATGATTTAGAGAGAGTTCATCTAGCTTTAAATAGAGGAACAGAACGAGGTGGATCCTCAGTGCCTTCAATTTTAAATTGCTTAGAGACTAAAGAAGAGCCTCCAACGTTTCATCGCAACAACAAATTCACCCAAGGCTTCCAAAATTTGGTCAATTCATATGGAGTTGCTTCTTACAGAGAACTGAATCCTGCCATATTTACAATAATCACCTTTCCATTTTTATTTGCTATTATGTTTGGTGACGCGGGTCATGGAGTACTGATGAGTATGTTTGCTGCATGGATGGTTCTTAAAGAAAATCAAATAATAGCTGCAAAACCCCGAAATGAAATATTCAACACTTTTTTCGGTGGAAGATATTTAATTCTGCTTATGGGCATTTTTTCCATTTACACTGGTCTTATTTACAATGACATTTTCTCCAAATCATTCAACTTTTTTGGTTCATCGTGGTTTGCATCACCAATTGCAAAAGGTGGTATCTACGAAAAGAGCATGCAATTGGACCCTCAAAAAGAGTACACTGGGATTCCTTATTGGTTTGGTATGGATCCTATCTGGCAAGTTTCGGAGAACAAGATTTTATTTCTCAATTCATATAAAATGAAACTTTCTGTTCTGCTTGGAGTATCTCAGATGATTTTTGGTGTTGTTCTCAGTTTATATAATCATAGATTCTTTGGTAGAACGCTCAACATTTACAGTGAATTTCTTCCTCAACTCATTTTTCTAGTTTCAATCTTTGGTTACCTCAACATTCTAATCTTAGCTAAATGGATATTTTACGATTCTTCCGTAGCACACTGTGCACCATCAGTTTTGATTACACTTATAAACATGTTCCTTAATAAATATCCTGACTCTCCTTGTAATTTGCTTCCAATGTATTGGGGGCAAAGATTTTTCCAGACAGTTTTACTTATCACTGCCATTGTATGTATTCCATGGATGCTTTGTGTAAAACCCTATTTTTTGAAGAAACAACAAGATTCCAAAGATACCAAGAACAAGCTAAAGATTATCCAACCACCAGTCACCTTTAACAACAATCAAAATGCGGGAGAAAGTGAAGTTGGTATTCCTATGGAAAATTTTAGCGAATTATTCAAAGACCAGGAAAAAGTTGCGGTAAATGTTGAAAACAACGAAAGTGATAAAGAATTTGATCTTAGTGAAATTATAATTCATCAAATAATTCATACAATCGAATCTGTTCTTGGTTCGATCTCTCATACAGCTTCATATCTTCGACTATGGGCTTTAAGCTTGGCACACGCTCAACTGAGTGAAGTTTTGTGGACCATGGTTTTACAAAAGGGTTTAACCTTGGGTGAAAAAACTTTTGGAGGTTTCATCATGTTTTTTGCTTTTGGTATTTGGGCATGTCTAACAGTTGCTGTTCTGCTGTTGATGGAAGGGTTAAGTGCTTTTCTCCATGCCTTGAGATTACATTGGATTGAATTTCAAAGCAAATTTTACTCTGGAACTGGTTACTTATTTCAACCATTTTCATTTGAAGTAATTCTTAAACAAGAATTTGAAGAACTCGTTTGATTTGGTTTACCTAAATGATCCTCAAAAATCATAACCGTAGTCTAAATAGTCTGCTGAGTCTTGCTGTTTGTTGCCACCATATCATCAAGTAACATGAGTTAGTCAGCTGTTTGAAGCAATATGTAAACATTTGCTAGTTACTAACAATCATCTCCAGGTACCAATTTACGTGACAATAATTTTGTGCTTTATGTGACTTTAAAGTGTGTATTAATTTTCTACTTAATGTTACTAAAATTCAATTACAATTAGAGTTTTTCCTATTCTCCAAAGATTTAAAATATAATTTTGGACTCACTTGTTCTCTTGTCTTCACGTGACTCTTGTTTCCTTTGATTAAATTGGTGATCACCTTAATCAACATCTTTGCCAACAAAAAAAACTCATCAATTTTCCCGGTTACCAGTTATTTATACTCAAATGATCATTAAGTGTCTCAATTTCTTTACCCTGTGATTCTCCATCGGCAAATGTGAAATAATATTATGGATTTTAACTGAAATAATTTTCCTCTCACATGTATCCGTTCAATTATCTGCTCATCATTTTCTTTCCTGCAAAGAATATGAATAAGCAAGATCACATCAGCAAGATAATCAAGATCATGCATTGATCAATAGTAAATATTTTTCTCTCTCTCTCTATCTTTCTCCTCCTTCCCATAGTCATTATCATCATCAATTCTTATCTTAATTTTATTACAATTATAATTATCAGCCTTCGTTAGTCTATCTCATGATTCTACATCTAACTCGACGATTAATCGGGCTCAACATTCACATTTTGTTAACTCAACAAGTCTGGTTCCACAAGCTCGCCAACATGTCTACTTCACCATCTCTTGTAACGAATTTTTCCCAGCAATTACAAAGTTTCAAATTGCCATTCTATTCGATTGAAATATTTCCCCCTTCAACCGAGTCTGGATTGAATAATTTGAAAAATTTTCTAAGTGACATTCGAAAATATCGCCCTTTATTTTGTGCCATTACCTCTAAAAGTACTTCAAGAACATCGGAAAACGAAACTGGATCTCGCTTTGAATTGGCTCGAATGATTATTAAAAACTATGGATTCGACATTTTACTCCACTTAACTTGTTCCGATATGATGGACTCAAATCAAGGTCGAAAAATTTTGAGTGAAGCCAAAAAAAGTGGAATCAAGTATATTTTTGCCTTACAAGGAGACAATTTCAAACCAGCTGAACCAAGGGAATTTAATCATGCAATCGACATAGTAAAGTTCATCCGAAAAGAATTTTCAAATGATTTTATCATTGCTGTTGCTGGTTATCCTGATGGTCACCCATCGTCGCCATCTTTTAAGCAAGATATCGCACATTTGAAAGCCAAAGTGGATGCCGGTGCTGATATTGTCATTAGTCAATTTTTCTTCAATGTTGACACTTTTGCCAAGTTTGTGAGATGTTGCCGCTCAGCTGATATTAAAGCCCCCATTTTACCAGGAATATTTACATTTTCATCTTATAAATCCTTTACACGGATGATAAATACAACAAAGGTTCCTGTCTCTAACGAACTGCTGATGAAAATTGAAAGCAAATCCCAAGCAGATCAACAAATCAAACAATTTGCCATTAAAACATCTACTCAACTGTGCCTTAACCTAGTAAATCAAGGACTTTGTCCTGGGCTCCATTTTTTCTCTCTCAATCAAGATGCCTCCTTACATGTGATTGAGATGGTTGAACCAATGATACCAAGGACAACTATTAACCAACAATTATTGCGATTATCTGCTCAATTAGAGGAATGTGTTCTTCAATCAGAAACAGTTATCCAGAAGAATGCTTCACCAATTATCGTCCAAGAAGAAACACCAAAAATTATCTGTTGAAACATAGTATTACATTTTATCATTAACAATCATCATGATGAATTATATGCTGATAATATCGATCAATAGTGAAAGATAAAAAAGAAATTGATTTTCCCTGATAAGTCGACCCTTAAACAAAGATTAAGGCCACCATTAAAAGGATCATTGATCATAATCACAATCATAATCGTAAATAGAATCATAATCATCATCGAAATTATCTAGATTTTCCATTTGATCTGATCAGATTGAATCTTGATAACTTTCAGTCTTTGTAGCTATGAATATTTTGTAAAAAGCAAACATCAACCATCTCTGTTAAAGATTAGAAAAGCCACTCAAAAAAAACAAAACGCTAAATACGATGGAATATCTAATATCAATAAATACAATAGAATTTTGTAAATAAATTTCTCTTTTGTTTATATTAGTACAATTATATCTAATTTCATTCATTGTGATTCTAATTTACTAGCTTATTCGGATCACCTCCAGAAACCCAATACAAAAAACAATGTGTAATCCAAAGTCAACAAATCACGTTTACAATAAGGTTAACTTGGTAAACAAAATCACGCATACGAGATCTAACATAAAAATTCCCCAAATGTCTTATGATTAACTGACTCAAGAAGTTGAACCATCGATAGTTGATTAACTAATTAAACATGAAATGATAACTAGCATCAAATCAATCTTACCAAAGTCAACAATTGTTACAATTAATACAATCAAAGTGCTTCCATGTTGTGCTTACCTATTACCAAAGACTTGGAAATCTAACCTTCAACTATCAAAATAAACGTTCAAATTGTTTATTTAATTGTTTATATAAATGAATATAAACACGAATCAGACTTTAATGAAATCGTTTATTGAGACTTAATTTTTCAACGGTCCCTAATTAGCTTCAAGCTAATATTTCACCTTTTCATAACAATTGATAGCCTTAACCAACTATTATAATTATTTTACTGGGTAATTCGGTTGGTTTTAGCGTTATAATTTAGATTCCGATAAATAAGTGTAAAATTTGCTCCTACGTTGACTGAAATTTTGAAAACTTGGATCATTTTGATACTCGTCACTTGGTTAGCTTTCATCTCAATGCTCGAGACGTTTCTACTCATTTCCTTTATTACTTTAAAAGACGGATAACGTTTTGTAACTGAATTAACTTGAAATAGACAGCCAATTTATCGAATCACTTTAATGGTTGCTTTAGTGAATTACAATAACATCATTCAAGTCAATAAACTTTGTAATGATAAAATTATCAATATACTTTGTAAATCTGGTACATGATTGTTTTATAAATTGAGTTGAGTTTATAAATTGACTTCTTAATGGATGATTATTTGAAAGTTGATTTCACTTCATTATTGGCAGTTGAATCTTTTTCCATCAGATCATGTTTAATGTTATTTTTATATTAAACTATTAATATAAATTCACAATCTCTCAATTTCCAATAATTTTAAACATTTGATATCTTTCTTTGAATTGAATGCTGTAAAACCTTCAAGTTAATCAATTTTAAATCATTACGTTTTGTCTACAACTGAAGGAACTGTCAATTTGAATGATTAAATGGATAATGAAGATGGATAATTTATAGTTTTTATGAAATAAATGAATTTATTTTGTGCAACTTATAACAATCAGTTTAAGTGAGTGATAATCAAATTTATTTTGCAAATTGCAAGTCTAAATTTGTACATAGCTTGGGCCAATTGTAATTTATATCAATTTTATAAATATCAAAGTGAAAATGTAATTTCATGCAGTTGGGTGAAGGGTAAACTTTACATGGATCAATTTGAACTCGATTATCACATTGTACAACTCAGTTGTTTAGCCTTTTCTTATCCATTTACCAGAACCATGATAAATCCTCTGAATTCAATTAGTTACAGGACGAATTGTAATACAAAATATGAGTAGAAAATTGAATGGAATGAGAAAATGGGGAAATATGTAGGATAATAATTCTAAAGTGATCAAGACACATAAATAAAACAATTACAAGTGTTACAAATTTAAGTAGATTGGTTGAAAAGTGTAAAGTGTTTGATAAAAGTAGAAAATGAAATGAAAACCAAATTTGCTTGTGAATACAGCAAAATGGTTTTACTTTTCCTCCGTAAAACCATTAAATAGCCTAATGGAGTTAAAAAGAGATTCGTGTAAAGTTGCAGTTGGAATCATTGATTGGTATATTAGAGGTGAGTTTTTGGTTTCCTTAGAATCGGTTCATTGAACGTGAATATTTTTTTTGTCACAAAAGTCTTCATTGTCTTAAATTGTCTTCATAAATAGATTTCCATTTTAACGATTGACCAACGCTTTATTTGTGCTCCTTATTGCCTTTTCCCAAAAGTTGAGTGATACTGGTAACTGTACTTTGATTACTTCCATATGGACCCAAACTTTCATGAGATGATGAATGGTCAAAAGTCTCAGATTCGCCTGAATGATCGGCGGATTCGTCTGGGTCATTTTCTGAAGTGCTTGTAGCAAGATTGGTGACTGTACCATTGGCAGTGGAAACATTACATCGAGCATTTTGTCCATTTTCCTCTACTTCCGATGATTCTCCTAATTGGGTTGATGAATAATTGTTGAGTGCTGAATAAGATGAACCATACGTTTCGCTACTGCGAATACTTGGACTTGCCCTGATGCCTTCCATGATTAAAGATGGATCAACATCATTATTAAACGATGAGCTAGGGACAACTATTAAGAAAAAGTATTATTAGTTGATGCTTTAACAATTGTTTAAAAAATAAATACAATTAGATTCTTCAATGTTTTGATTTTAGATAAGATCAGTAACTGATTAAATGAAGAACTTATTTATTTCCTTTCTTCATAAAATAATTTGCTTAACAAATAAATCAAATTATAAAAATAATTGAGATGCGAAAAAAAAAATAAATCACACATTTGTATCAACAAATAAACACAAAGACTAGTAATATTCAGGAATGTAAAATAATGGCCTGGATGATTGTTTAGAGATGAACTCACTGTGACTATGAGAAGCTGTTCCGTCTTCATTTGCATAAGAGTCAGTGTGACCTCCAACACTTGATCCAGGGCCTATTGACTGAATTTCAGCTCGTGATGGTGGATAACTTAATCCCAGTCCATTTTCATCAATGGATCCACTAAAAGCACGAGATAACTGTGAAGATCCTAAATGTGTTTGTGAATAGAGTTTAGATTCAAGATTTGCTCCTTCTTCCAAATCAATGACAAGAGAGCGACGTTCATCGGGATAGTTAGGGTTGTAACCATTATTTTGATTTGGATGCTGGTTATGACGGTAAAACGATGAAGTTGAAGAAGATGTTTCTTTACCATAAAATTCAGAGATTGGCTTTCGATGTCGACCAGTATGGGGAGAAGCTGAACTACCCATTTTCCGATCAAAATCTTCCATTGATGTTTTACTAATCAGTGAGGAAGAAATTGATGGTTTTAAATTATTTGGAACTGATATTTTTCGAGTTCGTTTTCTTGGTGATTTCAATGAAAACTGTCCTAAGGCACTGGAAAATCCTCCTCCGACTCCAGCTGAATGAGAACCAGATTTGTCTTTGGAGTTTTTCACATTTCCATTTAGCTGTGGCGTTATGTTTTCATTTGAACTACCAATTATCATGTTGATTATCCTTGAGCCAAAGAAAGAATCATGCAGTAAATTTAAGGCACTTTGAGAGACACTTGATTGAGGTCGACTTCCGTTACCGAGTGAAATATCACAAGCATTCGTGTTGTAATCAAAGTTGACTAATTGGTCAGCAATTGACGGAGAAGCCAAATCACTATTACCATGTTGGTTAAATCGATGATGAGTGTCAGAAATTAATTCATCTTCCATTATAGTTTCTAAAGAGGGCGGAATAAATTCTGAGTCTTCTGGGTGAATATCCAAGTTCATAGCTGAACCCAGATAAGGCTGTCTTCGTAAGCCTACTGAAGATTTTGTGTAAGGCAATGATGGTCTAAGATCATCCCAATAAGTGTCCTTCACTAATTTAGGCAACTGATTGTGCATTTGATCCACAATATACATTGAAACAACCAAGTTACGGTCAAGAATGAAGTTTAACTCAAAATCATCATCATCTTCCCCAAAAGGATTAATTAACTGTTCAGCTACCTTGAGCCAGCCCATGAAGAAGAAAAATTCAAGCAAAGTGAAAACTGGAATGTAAAGGTCAACCTCATGGCCTGAATATCCTTGACTTGGATCCAGATATTGACGAGCCATAATTACAGCAGCAAAATAAGTATAGACAGCAATAGTTACTGCCTGAGTATAAACCAATGGAATAGAGATCCAATCAAAGGCAAATAGATCTCCACAGCCATTTCTAAATTTGTACAATTCTTGTAATAAATGTTTCAACAACGTATCATCTTTGATTCGACCTTCTCGCCGAGATCTGATGGCCAACGTCGTGAACCAAGCTGCCGGTGCCCACCATTTACCATAAACTCCTGGTATCTCATTGTAAGCTAATTGTTCCTCTTTAGTCATGATACCAGCTTCAACTAGATGATCAATTGACGGGAAACGACGCTTAACTGATATACTGATTGCTTGAAAGGTAACAGCTTGAAGGATCAGTAAGTAACGGGCTAAAGTTCGTCTTATCACGCGCCCTCGTTCATCATCCCCTTGAACGATACCAGTGATCATCATGAGAAGTCTAGAGAAAGATAGAGGAAAATAAAATGCATAGATTAATTAATTTGTACTAACATTTGTAAGTAATTTTAGTAATCGATAGAATATAAAATTTAATGACCCAAAATCTAAATTAATTAGAGCCTGTCAACATGTAAATCGTAACATCGTAACATCCTAAGTAATTAATTGGTGTTACCTTAGCTACACAACTGTTGTTAGACTATTCATGGTTCAACACTAGATATGGATACAAATGAGACTAAAATACTAAAGCAAACTATCCAATAAACAGGACAATGACAAGACTAATGAATTATTTATGCTCACAGGGTCACAAATCGAAAATATTGTGATTTAATATTGAAATGCTGTCTTTCCCATTTGGAGCAAATGACTCAGTCTATGGTCGAAAAATGACCATTAGACTAACTCTTGAAGCAATGAACTTGGTACTATAAAGTTAATGGAGCATGAAAGAGTTTTGTTACCAGATAGTCGAGTAATTTAGGAGATGGATAATGAAAACGGTATCGTTAACTTACGTATCTGGCCATGGTATAGCACAGTATTGGTTCCACCATCGGCTAACCACAATTGAGACATAAAACCCAAGAATGAACGACAATGGAATCAATTTAGAGAAAGCTTCACAGTATAAGGCGACTTTCTCAAAAACCCTGTAAGAGAAGGAAAAGAATTGTTAATGAATACAATCAAAAAAGTGAATGAAATGAAAAGTCTGAAATATATAATAAATCTCATTATGAAATCAGAAACATAAAGCAGAAACAGAAAGTCTTGACCAGTCTCGTTTAGGTGAATGCATCACAGATCAATGAACCGACAGACTTTAACAATGTGTTAACTTCATAACAGTTTCTTATCCGAGCAAACAGCTGATTAATTTGGATCATCTAAATATAAAAATATCAAGGGATTTAGTATCAAAACCTAAAAATACATTATAAACAAAAAAGACATTTCAAGAAATGTTACTAGACACATGTAAATCTTTTTTAGCTTTTGTAACTTTTCACATGTTAGGTCCTTGGCATTCCTCGTCAAACCTTGAAGAAACTCGTTAATCAATCAACAAGATTGAATTAGCTCCAAATTTACAGCTGTACACATTAGATATTTCATAATGAAGTAGCCTTGTCAAAACCAATCATTCAACATAACTATGTCAATCAAATAAATCTATATCTTTAAGAGCAAGTCAAAAATAATCTGGCCTTTGATATCAACACTTTAATCAATAACAAACCTGAGTAAGTATAATATATTGACTGGAATACACCAAGAAATTATGGCTCGTTATTCACCAATTTTGGAAGAGACTCAAAATCCCTGAATGACGATTTTTTGGTAACATAATTAATTGTCAAACAATATGTAAGAAAAAACATAAAAATCAAATTTGACTAAAACTACAGTTAAACAATAACAACAATTGTCTACGTTTGCGCATTATTGATTGTTTACATTCTTTACCCGCCAATTATTTTACTGTGTTAGTCTATTATTGGCTTTTATCCAGCTATTAGATCATAGTTAAACCGTTAATTATTTTAATCTTGTTCAATTTATAAACTATTTAAATAACCATTTGTTACACAACATTTCACAACAATTTGGTGGATTCATTCGCAATTCAATAGTCAAAAAGATGAAGTTGGAAGTTTCTCCATGCTTACGCTACACTTGGGCAATATTTCATTAACTCAACAGAGGCGGTTATTGTTAAACTTTGATAATGATTGATTGTATGCTTACCTTCGCTGATCTGGGTCCAATAAATAACGATAAAGAAAGCTGAGACTGTAATAAAGGATACAAAAGATGATCATCTCTCGGTACAGAAGCTTATAAATGGACCCTCTCCAGCGGAGAAGTAGTTTCGCAAATCCATTGAGTCTTGTGTTGGCAACATTTAACGTATATGTAACGGTCATGGTTGATCAAAGTTATTGATGGTTGATTCCAAATTTCGGCAGGATTCAACAATCACAGTTAAATCCAATCAATCACCGATGGCCAGTTAATCCTTTCTTGGTATTTGTTCCCAATGCACTGAGTTGATTAATATGGAACAATCAAATGATGATGATGACCAGTTAATGTAATCGTTAGTGTACCTTTTGATAAACATTGAAGACACCAGGAAAATGATTATTTTACAGCTTAAAGCTCAACCGTCTGGTAGGGCAATGGATGTTAATTTGAGTGGAGATAGGATGGAGATAATGGGTTAGATAGAAGGGACAAAAGTAAGTCAATAAATTTTTTTTTCAATAATATATCAAGCTTTGCGTGAACTATGTAAAACAGGTTAAAAATGTCAATTTTTTAAAACTAGGACAATCGTGAAGCAACATCACCATTGACGATTAAAGATTATAAAAATGGTATAAAAATGTAAACTGAAATTGAAATGGCGGAGACAAAGAAAGATTAGCTTCATCAAGTCAACATAAAGTTCTACCCGAGATTAAAGTTAGTTATTCTACAATGGAAATATTGCCAACTTTAGGAGTTCGAAATGGTTTGGATAACAAAATGGTATGGATCGAGGAAGTAACATCAACTATACTGTACTAGATTTCAATTACAATCGCAAAATTATCAAAATAATTGACAAAAAGCATGCTACCAAGAATTAGGACAAATTCAAATTCTCAGTTAAAGGAGAGGATTCTCAACAAAAGCAAAAGACAATGAAAAAAGAAAAATAAATTCGCAAAAACCTCGGAATAAATTCACTGAGATACTAAAGGAAAGACTGAACAGTTGCAGGAAATCGATCAGATTTAAGGGTAAAAAAGGATGGTATCAGGAGAAATGAAAAGTTCAATGCGCAGACTTACTAAATCTTTTCCCACTTTTCTGGTAATACAATTATGAAGACAGGAGTAAAAAAAAGAGCGTGTATGAAAGGAATGGAGAGAGAAGGAAAAAAATGAGGAAGAAGACAACAATCGAGATGATGGCGAAAAAAAAGAAACCAAAAAAGTACTAGGAAACAATGAAGTTCATCATCAACAAACCTGATGGATTTTACTACATTACTTGTGGTGAATTCAAAAAAAAGACAACATTCAAATGGTTCAATTTAGAAGCATGTTTAATGTTATCTGAACTACGGTAAAATTTGTTCTGACAGGTTGAAAGATTTTGGAAAAGGAATTGCAAACCAGAAGGAGAAGAAAAGGAAAAGGGTTAATGGAGGAAGAGTCAACATGGTTAACAAAAAAAAGTGGAGAAATGAATTACAGGGTGCAAGTCTTGGACCAAGAAAACAACTAAAGCAAATCTTTCTGAGGCGATATTATTATTCTGACTCTCTGTTAATGTAAATATTATAATTTACCCTGCAGACGTATGAGTCAGAACAATTATTTATAATATTAGATGGAACAATTAAATGGTGCAAAAAAAGATTCGTCCTATCATTCAGATAAATTTTCATTTTGGTTATTCGAGTTGCTATTTGGAATGTAAAGAGTGGAATTCAGTTTCATTTTTGTGTTAATCAATCAAATCAAAGAGGACCAATCCTTATTTATAATCAATGAATGATTTAAAATGCGTTTTAAACATCGCAACACCTTTAGGGAACCAGCGAAAGTGAAACTTCTGAAAATATTATCATGATGATTCACGATTCTGATAAATTTCTGTTATTAATGGTGATGAAGCAACGTTTTGGCTAACATGGAAAAGGGAAATCAACATTGTCAACATTCTTTAATCAACAAAATGACTGAAAGCAAAATGGATTCCAGAAGTCAAATCAATAATGAATTATTGTTACCATTTGTTTCAATTCTGCATTGAGAACAGTTTTAATGGTCAACTTGACAGTTATGATGATAATGGCGAGGAAGATGGTCAAGATAATTGATGCTAAATGTTAATGATCTCAAAGATGCAAGAATGATGGTGATAACTGTTGAGTCACGTTTAATCATTTACCATCAGAGGTGAAAATTGAAGGGTTAACTTTTCCTTGATGGACTAGAGGATATTTGAATCAATGGTTTTTTCTGGTGGAGACAAAAGATCCATAGAAACATGAAAACATGAATTTAGGTTGTTACAATTAATGGCTAAGATTTAATGATAATAATGAATGATGATGAATATGATGGAAACATGTAAATTAGACCGTGAGACAATTAAAACCAGAAAAAAACCGGATTAATTAGTAATTGATTGTACCCAAGTAAACAGGATCTTTGTTAAATTACCTGTTATGTTTGCTGGTGTTTTTAAAATAGCCCAAATTGGAAAGCAACAAGAAATGACAAATAAATGACAACAATGGCAAAAATTACATTGGATTGAAACATTGATGGAAGCAATAAACAAAGCCTGGAATGAAATAACTTTCAATTAAATCAAACAATAATCACACTGAGATGATTAAATTGCAAGCAACTGCAAAAATATAGACTTTCTAATTGTCCTTTAAAATAGTCATTCCTTTTTTATTTACCAATCTGTAAGAGTCAATCAATTGACTATTTTTTGTAATTTTCAAAGCCAAATGATCAAATAATAGCAACCTTTTTTATTTCCATTTGATAATAATCGGTTTTAATTTTACTTTTATACAACAGATTTGGTTGATTGTGGACTTTTCTGGTAACACAGTTAAGATGTTGATGTTAAAGCCCGGGAAATAGCTCTAAAATTGATTGGTGATAAAAATTTAAGGTTTGAAATCTTGATTACTTTCTAAATCGTTAATCTTAACAATTGATGAGTCAAATCAGATTGTATTTTTAAAAGATGCAACAAGAAAGAGACGATTTGATTTAGAAGATTAGATTCAACAATGAAATGATATCCAATCAAGTTTCATAGCAAACAATTTGATTAACCGACCGTGAATGGTCATTGATTGTCTGAAAATCAATAAAAAATGAATTGGATATAATAACCTTCGAATAAATAATATCAAACCGATAATTTACCCAATTTATCAATCCAAACAATGAAAACACTTTTAGCGAAAAATACTCTTGATTTTGTATGCAGTGCGTTTAAGGTGCTTGCTTACAAAGGTTTGTTTTTCATACGGTTTGATGTTATTTTATATTATATTTTTTGCTGTTAACAGTTCACCAATTTAATCACAGTTCAACTGCCATTTAATTATTCATAATTATAACTTACCATTGCTGTTATGCAGTGAAATTGTGTTAATAATAACTATGTATTTTGTAACCTTCTTAACCAGACCAAATATCAGAATGAAACCATTATTTTAGGTAAACCTGGTTTTGTCATTATACTATTTAATTACAATGTATTTCTGTCCATTACATACGTCAATTGTCAGCAATTAAAGCCAACACAAATGGATGAAATGTCAAATAGAGACAACAGTTGGGTTAAATTGTTGGTAAATTGAAATGGTCTTTATGTTGACTATAAAATCTTCAGAAATAAAATCATTTTTAACCGTAATACCAATTTAAAATCTCTGCTCATTCGCAGCTATTGAAACCCATTTACCAGTTTTACCAGGAAAATTACCTTCTCGGTGAAAGTCCAATGGATAGACACTCAATTAAGATTAACATTAAGATTTGCACGCAAATGATACCAAAGCTTTATACTTACCAACCAATTCAGATTGTTTACAATCATAGAATTGATTTTCTCATTCAAATCAGCTCGACATGTAAATAATCAACTGTTTTATAAGACAATAAATAAACTGATCGTTGAATTATATTTTGGATGGAAAGCAACAGTTACTTGAATATACATTGATTGCTGTGAAGGTGATCCTTTAACAATCTAGATTAGATAGACAGACAATTAATCAAAAAAGATAAACTGGAAACGATTTAGGTTTACAAGTCGATGAAATTAATGTTTCAATCTTACAACAGGTAATCATTGTTAATCAAAAAGTCTGGCCAATCTTTCAACAGCTTACAAGTGGATTTACTTTGGGTTTGAAAGGAAATTGAATTGAAGTACTGAGAATGGCCAAAGACAATTAACTTATTGCTACAAGTTAATGTTTCCTGATTACTTTGAATTATCCGTAGAGTTACCATCAACTTTAATGAAACATCATAAAAGCTACCAATAATCATAATTGAAGATTAAGAGTTATTAGTTGTTGGTTAAAACATCGCAGACCTTTAGATTCATCCATCAGATTCAAAGCTTTCAAGTACTCATCTTGAAATTGTGTTATTCGCATACATTGTAGATCCCAGATTTAATGGTATAATCAAATGATATTGAAACGTTTATTAATCTTGACTTTTGGTAGTTGAATAATCCTAACACTGAAATTTATAAGGTAAATATCTCAATGTTTTTATTGAAGCTTTTTGGTCATTTGACGTCCAAGTGATTTCAATCACAATAATACAGAGGTAGATAGGGAATAATGCATTTACTTTGACTATATAAGATTGATTTACTGACAATTTAGATGATATAAGATAATGCTTTGTAGTCAGCTAAGAGCTGCAGTTTAAAGTACATTGTATACATTAAATAATTGCTTGTAAATTGGTAAACCCATTTTATCAAAACAATCATTATTTCACTTGAAATGTAATCATATACATTTTTGCTCAAGTCATGGTAATCTCATAGAGAAATAAAAATAGTAACGTTAAATTGATAGTGAATTCTGAATTGTAAACTTACATAAGTTACATTTAAACATTGGAACATTTTAAATAGTATTTCTACAAAGTTGATTGTGAACTTAGTCTAATGATCAGGTAAAGCTACACATGCGAACATGAATAAACAGCTGAAAAAAGGCAAAATGAAAATAAGCTTAGGAACTCTTTCAAATAAAAAATAATGCCTAACGGCAAGCAACAGGCAGTAACATGATTAAGCTAGAAACAAAAACAATTAATTACATTAAACTCAATAGGATTCTTTTTTTCAAGCCAAAAATCTAATATCTTTAGGGATAACAAAACAAAACTAATGAGTCCGAAAGTTTAATGTAACATTCTGGAAGCATAATGTATCTATTTATGTTCAGCATCATATTCTGTGAATAGATTGATTGATGAAAATAACAATTTATCGTCGAAAAAAAAAGAAATCCAAATTGAACAGTAAGCTTCCCAAAGTCACAGAAAATGCTTGTCAATTTTTTGTTGTGAATATTGATTTGATTTTACATTGGTACGTGGCTAAAGAGGTAAGAGACGGATTCACCATTATGAGTTCTCCTGATGGCTTCAGCGAGGATCATGCTAACATCGATACACTGAAAAAGAAAAGAAAAAAGTTATTAGATCACAAAAGTCTCATTAATTTATCAACAAGTTTACAATTATCATTGCCTCATCTTATCTAGTCATGACTTTTATCATAATCAAACAAACATTAGATTATTATATTGATTAGTTGAATCATCTGTAGGTTATTCCTTAATAAAATAACATGATTTGGAAGATAATCAAAATTAATAAATGAAGAATATCAAGATTTGTCTGATAGCATAAGATATGCAATCATGGGATACTTTGTTGGTGGTTTGCGGTGGTGAAGGTTGGTTGATAAAACACTTGAATCATTAATCAAAAGATGATTTTAAAAGAAGCAAATCAACTAATTGCAGAAATGTTGGAGTATTTGGAAATCATGATTGTCCATTATCATAATGTCATTGAGACAACACGTAAACATCCGACAGATATAAGCAGGAAAACAAACCTGAATTTTTGGACATCTTCTCATATTTTCATCTTGTGGAATGGTATTTGTGACTACTAGAGCCTCGAATGCTGCTGAATTGATTCTAGGTAAGGCAGGGCCACTAAAAATACCATGAGTTAAAATGGCATAGACTTTTGATGCTTGAGCCTCGATTAATTTTTGAGCTGCTTGACAAATAGTTCCACATGTGTCAGCCATGTCATCAACTAGGATTGCAACCCTATCCTTGACATCACCAACAAGAACCATAGAGGCTACTTCATTAGCCTTTTTTCTTTCTTTATGAATCAGGGCAAAGTCGACATTTAGTCGATCGGCAATTGAGGTAACACGCTTTGCACCTCCAGCGTCAGGAGAAACTACAGAGAAACAAATGAAAGGTATTAAAAGTGAACGGCTTTACTTGGTAATAAAAATGACCACAATAAATACCTATCACACATTGATGCCAGTCAGGAATGTTTTCTTTAATCCATTTGAGTACAGCTGGTTCAGCATACAAGTTATCTACTGGGATATCGAAGAATCCTTGAATCTGACTTGCATGTAGATCCATTGTAATAATATGATCTGCTCCAGCCACAGAAAGCATATTAGCTATTAACTTAGCACTGATTGGAGCTCGAGATTTGTCCTTTTTGTCTTGTCGAGCATATGGAAAACATGGTATAACAGCAGTTACTCTTGCTGCAGAGGCAATCTTACAAGCATTAATCATAATTAAAGCCTCCATTAGATTGTCATTAACTTCACCACATCCTGATTGTACTATGAAGACATCTTCACCACGGACACTTTCACCAATTTCTACTGAAGTTTCTTGGTTACTAAATTTTTTTAGAACTGTCTTTCCGATGTGTATACCAAGTCTTTCCACAATTTTTTGAGCCAAATCAGGATGAGATGATCCACTGAAAACTTTAATATTAGGCATGGTGAATCAAAGGACACTACGAGATGAACTAGAAATTTCAGGTGAGAACTACTCAATTGTTACAATCAAACAACCGACAGTGTTAATTTAACACTGTTAAACGAACACTGTTGGTGTATTAGACTCTCAACAATCAGCTTTTCACCATGCGTGTACAAAGACACACCTCATTAACAGGGGCCATCTATACATATCAGATCATTTGCAATTTAATTCATCTTAAAGATTGTAATCAATTTTCAAAGAAAGACAAAAAGAAATGACTGGCACAGTCATTCAAAATGTTACATCAGTTCAAACAGACTAATTACGTCTTCATCACAAAAGTCAGAGTCCAAATGGAATCATTGACTCCAATCTCGTTTCCAATGAGATACGTCAAACTGGTTTTCTTCTCGAGAACCACAAATTTTTCAATCTTGAAATTCAATTTTATCATATGTTAAATGAAAGCAATATACTGGTTTAATTGAGCAACAAACGCTGAATACAAATGTTCTGGATCGATTCAAAGTTTGAATTTCAAACATTAGATGAACTAAGCACGTTTGCGCATTATTTGTTTACATTTTTCAAACTCTTTACCGCCAAATATTTTTCAGGCTACGAAACGCTCAACAGTTGTATAGCATTTGAATTTTTACCAGAACAATTTTTCAGTTACTCTTTCCATTATGGGTCATTTTAACCACCAGAAAATTGATTATCCATCCAAGATCTGTAAGTAACATCAATTTATTCGGAAGAAATTGACAAAATAATTAATGATAGGTATGCAAAGATAAAACAAAACCATGATAGTTAACTTGATTATGAACGAACAATCCTCCGTTTTTTAAATTTAAATAATTTAGATGTTGTGACATCATGTAACAAATGATTTTACATGATAAAGATTGGATGTGCAAGGAAATTGATTGAAATTGACATTGTCAATGACATTGTCAATAAGATTGATCATAGCAGTTTTGTTGCTCTTAAGTATGACCATTGATAATTCAGGGAGACAATTTTTGAATAGAATCCAGTAATTAAATTATAAATAATCAAAATTTTTAGGTTCTATCCACGTAGCTTGATTTGATGATAGATTGACTAGTTAAATACTAAATGTGATTCAGATCTAGATGAATACAGTTGAACAAAAAAACGATTTACCATTGGTTAACATCCATTTCACCTAGAAATTCCTGCTTAGTTGATTTAAATAAACTTGAAAACAAAAATGAAATACAAAATATCCAAGAAAATTACTTACTTCTAATGAACAAAGGGAATATTTTCAGAAAATTTTCTTGAAATGAAAAATATCATTCAGATAAAACAGCAAGATATCACATCAAAAATTGATTGATCTCAAGATTATATGATTTTATCAAAATAAAATCATGATATTTATGATTCAATCATGAGATTACAAGATTAGGTTAAGCAAATTCATATCAGCTATTGTAAGCTTTCAATTAAAATTAGCTGAATGATGAAAATGAGATTAGGTAATTTTATAAGTTCGAAGGTCAAAAAAATCACAGTCAGAAAGAATCTTGTTGCTGGCATTTCCGTCAGTACGGATTTTACATTGGTACGTGGCTGAAGAGGTAAGAGACGGATTCACCATTATGAGTTCTCCTTATGGCTTCAGCAAGGATCATGCTAACATCGATACACTGAAAAAGATAAGAAAGAGTTATTAGATTCAAAAGTCTCATTAATTCATCATGAAAAAGCAAGAAGTTTACAATTATCATTGTTTCATCTTATCTGTTCATGACTTTATCATAATCAAACAAACATTAGATTATTATATTGATTACAAAAGACCCCAAAAAGAAGTTAATTAATTGTTACATTACATAAATAGGTAAAACCAGGATTAAAACTAGACATGAGTTAATGGCACAATTACTTATGTCATATGATATTATATGCTAATTGAATTTTCCGAATATCAATTTCCTTGAGATCCTATTTCTGTTTGCTAGCGAAAGGTCAAATTTCATGATCTTTAAGGTTACCGCATTTGAATTTTTATGAATGAGATAATACAATAAAACATTGACCGGTCTTTATTTTGATTGTTCAGCTAATTTGAAAGTAAACTCTCGTGAAGCAATAATTGGAACTAGAGTAAGATTGTTACAAACCTGAATTTTTGGGCATTTTTTCATATTCTCATCTTGGGGTATAGTATTAGTAACGACCAAAGCCTCAAGAGTAGCGTCATTTATTCTTGCAAGTGCTGGTCCACTAAATATACCATGAGTTAAAATGGCATAGACCTTTGATGCTTGAGCCTCTATTAACCTCTTTGCAGCTTCACAGATAGTTCCACATGTGTCAGCCATGTCATCAACTAGGATTGCAGTCCTATCCTTGACATCACCAACAAGAACCATAGAGGCTATTTCATTAGCCTTCTTTCTTTCTTTATGGATCAATGCAAAGTCGACATTCAGTCGATCGGCAATTGAGGTAACACGCTTTGCACCTCCAGCATCAGGAGAAACTATAAATACACAAAATTAGTCAATGTAAGAGTATAAATGAGCTCTCTAAGACTAAAGAGATGGTATACAATACCTATCACACACTGCTGCCAATTAGGAATGTTTTCTTTAATCCATTTGAGTACAGCTGGTTCAGCATACAAGTTATCTACTGGTATATCGAAGAATCCTTGAATCTGACTTGCATGTAGATCCATTGTAATAATATGATCTGCTCCAGCTACAGAAAGCATGTTAGCTATTAACTTAGCACTGATTGGAGCTCGAGATTTGTCCTTTTTGTCTTGTCGAGCATATGGAAAACATGGTATAACAGCAGTAACTCTTGCTGCAGAGGCAATCTTACAAGCATTAATCATAATTAATGCCTCCATTAGATTGTCATTTACTTTGCCACATCCTGATTGTACTATGAAGACATCTTCACCACGGACACTTTCACCAATTTCCACACAGGTTTCTTGATTGCTGAATTTTTTGAGAACTGTCTTTCCAATGTTTATACCAAGTCTCTCCACAATTTTTTGAGCCAAATCAGGATGAGATGATCCGCTGAAAACTTTAATATTAGGCATAATGAATCAAAGTACACAACAAGATGAATTGGAAATTTCAGTTGAACATGCTATTACAACAATGTTGAAACAACATGGAGGTCCGTTGCCAATGGTCCGCTGGTTAAGCTTTGAGATTTGGCAGGAAAAAATATTTCTCGCGGTTACTTTGAAAATGGTTACAAACTGAAGGCAACTATGAATCTTTAACCTATCTTTATGTGAATCTATGTGAATCTTTCATGTACAAACAGTAAAAACAGTGTACATAAAGATCAAGGTTATCAGTATATTTCAAGGGTATTTTATTGCTAATTTATTACATTGTATTATTTATAATTAAATGAGATTATTACTACACAGAAATTGTTAAATATAATTTGTACCTGCAAACGTGTTTTCTCACTTCGAAACAGCAAATAATCAAGATTAATTTTTCAACCCATAGTTATTTTTACATTTTAGTATTTAAACATTATTTTTGTCCTAATTGATTTTGTTGTCTCTATGTATTGCAATAACGAAGCGTTAGGTTTAATGTTACAGGTATGATTTATTTGATCCATGCCTTATTATGGCATGAATATTAATCAATCAATAGAAGAGTTATGAGCATTATGAGTGCGTAAAACCATGAGCTTTTCCTCGAAAGTTTAACTTACTCAAAAATCATTACCAATGTCAGAAGGCAATGAAAATATTTCGCATCATATTTAAAAAAATTAAGTCTTTACTAAGCAATGAGAAACAAAATATAATAGTTTGTAATAAGATCATCGGTGGAAATAGTTACTTTAAAAAGAGTGTAAATAAAAACAAAGAAACGCAATAATGATTGATTTCAAACTCGTACACCTTTTGCTGACCCTTCAACTTTTTTTCAAAACTCCTGCCGCAACAAACGAAAGACAAATTGGTTTATCATCTTTAACAGGTAAAAAGTGAATTGTTTTTATTGTCATTTTAATAATTTTACGTGTAATTATTGTCCTAATTCACAGGATCTGCACTAAATCCTGACAACTTGATCGGTGCTATTAAACTAGCCAGTGTAAGTATCTCAAGTCGCTTTTGCCTAAATTTTCATTTTATCATGACATTTATTGTTTATTTTTTGCAGGGCTTAGGTAAAGTCGCTGGAGTTCCTAATGCCGTTATGGATACAACATACAAAGCTCTTGAAGCTTATTCACCAATTGTAGTGCCACAAGCAGGAGAGGATAAAAATGAACCTACAATAAGTCTTGATGATAAACAGTTGAAAAGTTATCTACCCCAAGAACGAGTCAATCAGTTAGTCAAAATGGCTGGCCTCGATTCACGTAATTATTTATTTTATCTCTGTCCCTCTGACCCAAGAAACCTTTTGTTGCCAATTTAAGATACTAAAACTGGTGCTCAAAATGACGATAATAACATTGATTTTCCTCTTTTTTCCTGTATAATGATTGATCGGTTGCTTGATTTTTATTTTTCCTGGTTTCATTTCAATGGTAATTTGGATTAATGTGCAACAGAAAACATAGATTGGAAACTATTTCGCTGTCCATTGACTTTGAATCAATTAAAAGCCATCGTGGTAAATCAGCAAAGCTCCTCGGCAGGCCTTTCCATCATGCCTATGGATTCTTACCTTTCTAAAATCACTCATAGCCTTGATCGTATTTCAGATTCCTATTTTCGGCGTATGGAGAAATACATGGACAGTGAGATGGATTTAGAAGATTTTATGGAACATGTAAAACAATTGGATCAAGTTGAAGAAGGATTAGTAGTTTTACCAGTAAGCATTAAATCAGGAGTTTTACAAAACCGCCCAGGATCTATAGTGCTTCTTTGCTTGGGTAAATTTCCTCCTGACAAAAAGTTAAGCGATCCAGCAGCTATTATGCCAACAATATTGATAGGAACTATTAACCATGCTTCACCTGTCCAATTAAAACCTGAACCAGTGACTTCAGCTCCAACATCAACATCAACGTCCAATACGTAAGAGAGAATAAATTTGTTCCCATGTAAACTCTTTTGTATCACACATTTGTCTATCTTTTCAGGCTGAATGAATCTCCAAGTGAACCAGTGGTAACAAATCCATCCATTATAGAGGTTGACGAATCACCTTTAGCTGAAGCTGATGTTCCAATCTTTGTCGGTAGTTCGGAAACTGCTAATAATCCAGCTTCAGTACCAGTAGACACAATAACATCCAGTCAATCATCGAGCTCAAGTTCAGCACAAGCTCAAGCAAAAGTGCAACCACAACCGCAGCCACAGTTCCAACCACAACCCTTTCCCGGACCACAAATGGTTTCCCATCTCCCACCACCTCGGCAAGGACGTCCAGGTCGCCCTCCACCACCAAATTTCCAACCAAGGCCACAGCCTCCTCCTTTCGATGGAAGGCAACCCTTTTCTCACCAACCAGGAAGACCGATTCCAAGGCCAAGAACAGAAGGATAAAGACAGATTCGGCTGGCAATTCCCTGACATTAGTTTAACAATGTACCATCAAAATGTTTAGCATGATCGACTTTAGAGTTAACAGCTAAATAATCTAGCGGAAACAAACGCTTCTTTTGGATTGAAATGGAACATTAATTTGATTACTTTTAATATCTTAAGTGATTCTTTAATGTCAACAAAAATAATTAAATTTAGTAATGTCTATTTACACTCAATTATAATTAAAACAATGCCCATCTTAAGATCACTTTGAAACTATCTCAGGTAAATAGTTGATATAAAGTTTGGGTAAATAGAGGGAACAAATTTAAATTACAATAAGATTAATACATTTTGGTGTTCAATACGACAACCATGAAACTTAAATCTATACACAACACTTTGAAATTCACAAAAGTTCAACGATCAATGTTTCCAAGTAAAAAATAGCCAGTGACGCTAATAGACGATAACATGAAATACTATAAATATTAGTTTAACCAAGCTGGCAACAATAAGACAATCTAATCATTTTTAAACAGCTTCCCATAACTCGGTGCAATTAAAGTTTTACAACCAAGTATCATGGTTTATTATTTAAAGCTGTGAATGGAACAATCTTGAGGGTTAATTTAGTTTTGTTGGACATGAGTTGGTTAACTTGAATAACTGAAGCCTCGGTCACATCGATGCCATCAATTTCAATCAATCGATCACCAATCTCGAGCAATCCTTGGTACACCTTTTCCCCATTAGAGTCAATCCTTGAGATGAAAATACCTGTTGCAAAATTAAACACCAACAAAACTATTAGTTATCTGAATAATTAAAAGTAAAAAAGTGTAATTAATTGTACAAGTGACAAACCTTTAATATTATTTACAGTTCCTCGAGCAACAAAAAAGCCAAAAGGTTTACCCTGAGGCCGATGAATTTCAACAATTTTCATGTAATCACCCGGCGTTGATACAATTGAACCGAAAACTGTTTCTTCTTTCATTGATTGTTTAGGCAACATCTTATCATCTTCATATCGATTGACTTTGGATCCTCTGTAATAAAAGTAAAAAACAAATTAATCAATAAACTAATTACAATTTAAGGCCAAGAAATGCAAGATAAAAGAAAGCATAAAATAATGGCCATTTGATGAATCAAATCAAGTAAATAAAAAAGTAATTGTTAGGAAATTCGCTATTACAATAATCTGATTTAACAATTACTTTTTTCTTCTGTAACTCAAATAATGATTATATTATAATTTAAGCCGGAAACTGGACTCAATTTGGACAGGAAACAGATAATTATTCTGAACAACAACAGTCAAGGTAAACATAAGACGTTGAAAGACTTGAAAAATGATTCGTATTACATGTAATCATTTGTTTTTCAATTGTTGTGTTTTTCACCCTCAAAAAAGTATCGTAAGTGAAAGCTTAATATAAAGGTGAAAATGATGATTACGATGGGTTAGGTTTTTAAAGCCATTAAACTGATTATTGCCTCAATATATTATCATGGTTGAAATTTTGGCGATGAAAAAAAAGTGCGACAAAATAATGTCTAATCTTGTTTTTCATCCTCAAAACTGCAACTCTGATTGACTGGTTATTAATGTTTTTTTTATACTCTTTTCATACTCAACTTATTACATCAAATGTGCTAAACGACATTAAATGTAATTTTCCCACCAACAACTTGGCAAATTTGATTATCGTTAATCAATTAACTCTGTCTTCAACCCATTGTCTAAAATATTGTCATGCAATAAATTATCAAAATCATTATCAAGTATAACTGCTTCATCTGTCAAAATAAAATATTTTATAACATTATGAGGCATCAAGATGATTTGAAACAAGAGACAATTGAAAGGGTAAGATGTTGTTGTGAAAGTTAATTATCTGTTTATCTTTATATTTTGTCAGGTAAATTACCAACCTTGGATCTGATTTGGTTCGAGTAACGTCCACCTTAACTTTAACCTTACGCTTGCTTCGTCGAAGGCTTAACCTATTCTTAAAGGCTCGGACGAAGGATGATGATGACGATGACTTTGTTTGCAAGGATTTTGATCCTGATGACTGAATTGGTAGGGAAACAGGTTCAACATTTTCTTGATTATTGATTGTACAACCGGATTCAATTAGGGTGCGAGTTGAATTAAACTGATTGGTAACTTGATTATTACCATTGAGATCATTAAAAGGTCTTGCTGATGATAAGGCTGGTGTGGAGACAGCAGATTTAATTAAGGTACCTTTACCTTGAATGTTAGTCTGTCGATGTTTATCAATCTTTTCAACGCTAAATGTTCTGGAAATTACATGAGTTAAAGAGAAAAATTTTGATAAAAAGGATCGAGATGATGACGATGTTGTTGATGACGGTGAAGGTGATAGATTTGATGGTGATTTATCTTTATGCTTGGATTTTGTTCCACCTCGAACCTTTGAATCTGTAAAACTAGTATTTTCCAATGATGGAGTTAATAGTGATACCAATGGTGAACTGGTTGATGATGATAATGACATTGGGGATCCATTGGATTCATTTGCTTTTGATTTTGTGTTAAGAATTGAATCATCTTTGGATAATAATTTAATTTCATCATTGTAACTGATTGGAGTTGATGGTGTTAAAGTAGCACTTTTCAGTGATTTAATTGATCGTGTTTTATTAACTGTTGCATATTCCTCTGTCGACCTTACATTGGCTCTGGATATGATCGGCATTGTGATTGGGTTTGGGTAAACTTGATCAGGTTTAAGATCGCTAGCTTTTGCGTTTTTGGCAGTCACTTGATTGGAGGCATTTTTATCATTCTCATTGGGTAATGTTGCAGATGAATTACCATTAACGTTAATTTCGTTAATTATTGGTGAAGGTTTATTATTGATTTTATTGTCTACTTGATCATAAGATTCTGATGGAAAGCTAACTGGTTTGTTGAATGGTAAAAAAGTTGGTCTATTGATTGGTGTTGATGATGAATTTGATGATGCTAAATGGTTTTGATGAATGGAATCCGATTTTTTCAACAATCGTTGATTACCTTGATTTGTTTCTGAAGGTGAGGTATATAAAGGAGGTGATAATAATGATGAAGAAGATGAAAGTGATGGTTTACACAATGAGCTTGAATTAAGACCAGGAAGATGATTTTGATGGTTGTACGGTTGCAAGGTTGACCGTTGGACTTGATGGTAATTTTTTTGCTTCTGATTGAGACTTGATGATGTCGATGAGGTTGACAAACGACCATTTTTGTAATTACTATTACCAGCAAACGATGATGTATAAGTTGGCCGTCGAACCATGTTTACTTTACTATTGATTGGACTATTGGTGGATGAATTTTGACTAATGTCACTTAAATCGTTATTGCTGTCAGCGCTGTTGCCATTTCCATTAGAGACACGTTTAGAAGAGTCCAATGGTGAAATCAGATCAACAGGTTGGCTCAAGATTGAATTGTAATTTTGATAATCGACAAAATATCTCGAGTCTCTGGTAAGACGAATATTGGAAGGGTAAATTGTTTCATAAAGATGATCTTTTGCAGTTATTGGTTTAGTAACTGAAACAGGAACATTTGGTTTAGATGAGTTTTGCTGAATTTTAGGAACCAATGTTGAGGCTGTCGATGATAGTGATGTTGAAGTTGGTGGTGGAGGTGGTTGTTGTGTTGGCCGAGGTATAGTTGATAATGGAGGCGGTAAAGGTTTGATCACATTTACCTGACCAGATTTATTGGAGAATCTATCATTAGATGAACAGTTTCCATTGAATTTACGATTATTATTGCTATTGCCATTACTAGGAATGCAAGTTTTGTTAGTGAAACCAAGTAATTGTGGCTTGTGAATTGGATGGTAATTTTCCGGTGATTCTAATGAATTAGGATGATTGGAGGAATCGTATGATCCATCATCATCTTCGTTTACTTGTTCAGTTTCAGAATCGTCATCATCAATACCAATAATCTCATTATCTCCATCCATTTGGTCTTCTTCATTTGCTGAATCACTATTAATCACATGTGCAACACAAGCAAAAGCTGAAATCATGGAATCAGTTGATTCAAATGGATCAATTGAACTTATCAAATCAATTTTAGGCCAATTTCTACAAGGATGATGACTGGTATTATTTTTATTAACATGATGATTATTATGGTGAAGATGGTTATGGTTTTTCACTGAAGTTGATGGTGAACAAGATGATGAAACGTTTACACAATTATTCATTTTATCTTTTCCAACATTGTGAACACCATTAGTGTTGACATTGATCTTGTTAACATAGTTACTATTGTTTAACTGGCTGTAATGGAGCCCTTTGCAGTCGCTAACTTTAGATCCTTGAGTTTCACTTTTTTCTAATCCATTTGATTCTAAAGTTGTTTTAACTTTAATACTTGTGATTGGCGAGGAACCCCAAGTTTCTGGATCAGATGAATCAGAAAGAGATAATGAGGTAGGAATAGAGCGTCGATTTGGAGCCATTTGACAGTAATGTAAAGTACGATCCAAGTCGACCACTGGAGATGTCTGTTGATAAGGACAACAACAGCAACAGTTTTGACGAGAGCAAAATTTGTTGTTGTTAGAGTGACAAATAAAATTACAGTTGATCTTACACTTATTCAATTGATTGTCATTGGGAGACTTGGTGGATTCACTATTTAACCGGTTATTACACTTGTTACTGTTGTTGTTATTACAGTTGTTAACAGTAGAAAGTTGAATAAATATTTTACCATTAACAGGTTGTCTGCTTAGATTTCCCTTGCAAACTGTTGAAGTTTCAACTGTTAGGTTTGAAAAACCGTGCTTTCCAACCGAAACAGCTACAGCAGCGCCATCAACGTCTACCTTTACATTATACACTCTATCATCAACATGCAAGTTACTTTTATGTTTATAATTGGGATTATCAATATTTCCAGATTCATAGTGATTAACATAATAACCAGAAAGATGGTCGTTGGCCAACAAAGGATCTTTAGATGATGATGAGTCTGGTGAAGTAAACAATTGACCATGATAATGGCGATTTTGATGCTTATACATCAAACCATCATCATTTTTACCATTCCATCCATTTTGACCATCCATAGTGCTGATAAAGAACCTTGATGATGCTAGGTGGTCCTAGAGCCAAAAAAGAAAGAAGATGATGAAAAAGATGAAGTAAAGGTAAAAAGTCTTAGGTAAGTCATCACGAAATTTTGCTCTGTTTGCTTGCTATACTTTAACACTAATACATTGCCTTTCTATTTCTCTATTTTTTGCCGGTTTCTATGCCCCAGGCCTCAAGAAGATAAATAATAAGGCCAAGACGTTTTCTTTTCATCTTTATCATCATCATCTTCGCCATCTTCTTGCTCATCATTTGGCCTAATACCTTTCACTATCAACTGTTTTTACCGGTTCCCGGATCTGCTTTCTTCTCTTTCCTTTCCTTCTCTTCTCTCTGTCCATGACCCTCTTATGAAACCTTTGACTTTCTACCTGTTCATCCAAGTCTACTTGCCGCCTAATCTTTATTTTATGAATTGTTTAGCAATCCAAATATTTCAATTCCATTGAAAACGTTCCCCAATCATGCAAAAATCAAGACATCAGGTATTATCATTATGCTGCGCTAAGCTTTATAACTTGATGCAATATTTACCTAATTTGATCTCACTTTTCACTCAACTCTTCCAAACACAACTTTACTCGGTGAAAAAGCTTCCAAATTTTACCTTGAAATATTAACCATAATCAACTTTTATTACAGTTATCATTCGATATTTGATCATCAATCTGTATTTACCCATCCGTATTAACATTTCATCCTTTTTCACTATTAACCTGCCTTTAATGCAAACGCTAAACAATGAATGCAATATTCAATAATATTACTTCAGTATTAATAGACATTTTATTTTCCATTATTGCTTTTCAGGTAAAATAATATTTATGAACCAGAATTGCGGCACAAATAAATGGAATGAAAAAAACTCAGATTACCCCACCTTGGCTATAATATGAACACTTACTGAAAGTAAATCAATTTAAAAACAGTTTAGACGGAGAATCATCAAAAGATGGCAAAAAACCACTAAAAATACTCGACAAAAACGAGAGACAAGTCAAACAGAAACTGTATTCTTGATGTAAATTGTTTCAAAAAGATAAATTAAAACAGATACAATTTTAAAAGCAGAAAGTAAAACAATTAGCTCAAATTATTTTGGTTAAATTAGTTGCCTTAATTAAGATGGGATCAACGAAAAAAAAGACAGCTAATGAAAGGACAGACAACAAGCAACAAAAAAAGTGAACAATCGCAAGATTGATGATTAACAAGGAAAAGTTGGATCAACTCTTCCTTAATCAATGTTTGGGTCAACAGTTAACACTTTCCCGTTTGTTATAAACACCAACCACGCACATTTAAAATGGTATTACATGTAAATTGCAGCAACTAATCAACATCAACAACAGTTAATCACAACCAGCACCATTACAATGATGATCACTCTGATTGAGATCACTCAGATTAAGATCAATGTTACATTCCCACGATTTAAATCCATGTTGTTACCTTGATTAACAGTACGGTCTTTCAACAGATGAATAACAATTCAGAGTTATTAGAAACGCCAACCTCAAAAGTAATACCAACATCACAAAAATGAATGTAAAATGAATGTGAAAGTGAAAAGTGAAAGCAATTTGTAATATTTACATTCATCTGTTCAATTTAAATCTGATCATTTGATAAATCACAATCTAATAATAGTCATTTAAGATGAGGATAAAGTATGCTTATTAACTGTATCAAGGTTAATTGTGAAAAGGCAACAATTAAAACCAATGAAGGTTAAATTATGAACATTTCAACCTTGATTGGGTGTGAATGTGTAAAGGTTTGAAAACAAATGTACTTTTGGTTGGTTTACCATAATAAATAATCATCATTTGTAACCAAATCCAATTGTAATGGCATAATTAATTGATCAATAATCAATTAAACACGATACTCTAATGAAAAGTACAAAACTGACCTCAAATTTTCTTCTCAATTCGGTTTACGAATCTGCCTTTTCCCATTGAAACTCATGTTGAATCAGCTTTCAAATTACAAATGCAAATCTCACCAAAATTTACTAATCATTGTATCACTTGATGAACTAAAATTAAATGAAAATTCATGAAATTATCTCAATTAGTTTCCATAAAAATCAAAAAAATCCAAATTCTTGTTCAATTTTCTCATCAGATGTCAATCGTTATGACACTTCAACCAGAAATTTTTGGGTTAATCTCTGGTCATTTTATGCTAAGAATACTAATTTTGAATGAATTTTCAGATAAAATTAACAAATTATTGAAGATAAGAGTTGAGTCTTGAACTGAACTGAACATGAGAATAAATTCGTGTAATAAAAATTCTGGTTAATCTGGTTGAACCGTTTTCTGTCAATGGAAACATTTAAAGTAGCTTTTGGTATTGTTACACTAAATCAAGGTTTAACCTTAAGTTGTTGTCTCATTGTTGATCATTATTATATCATTTTAATAGAAATTTAAATTTAGTTATTTGATCTATTCAATCTAATGCACACACAAATGTATTGTTTATGATTATCCTTGATTTAATTGTATTTTTAATTGTTAATGTTTTTTCTGTGTCATTTTTCAATTCAATAAACACTTTGTTTACCGTTTTGATTTTGCTTGCAAGTTAACCTCAATACATATTGTAATAACCTGTACAAATCAATTGAAAGTCAATTGAAACCTTTAAGTAAACCAATAGTAATTAATATCACAATTTATCATTGAGATTTTAACTTGAATTACAATATTAATTTACCTTCATCATTTATTAATTATCAACAGCTAAACAGTAAAACACACCTAAATCATTTACAGAATCACCTTGGAACTAAAAATTGGATCCAGAAAATTTTCCAATCAGTTTTGATGGTGAATTGAAATGTAATCTTTGCTGTTTTTTTCAACGAGAAATGATTGTTAGGGAATAGCATGAGAATGGATCAAATTGTCATTAATTGATTTGATAATTGTCTTTTGATGGACAACAATAATGGCTATGATTAACCATTAAGCTTTGACGGAAAAGATTTCAATGTTGTCTGCAAAGAAATTACTGAAAGAGTTTGTAGAGATTTCAAGATTCATTGTTTTCCTGCACATTTCTGGTGGATTCAATGGTGAGATGGGAAATGAAGACAAAAAGAGTCACCAAAAATTGAACTTGAATGGAGACTAATTTAAAGCAATTAGTGTTCATCAGTAATCAAAAAATGGTTAACCTTCAGCTTTTCATTGTTATTATTATGTGAAACATGTTTACATCGTTACATGACAAAGTTAAGATAGCAGAAGACAGAAGGAAAAGTAATAACAATAATCATGAACAGTTGAATGTTTTTTAAATTTTTGTTTTGTTTTTGAGTCTTTTTTGCCTTGTTTTAGCTTTTATTGTTTCCAGAATAACATAAACTCAGTTGCAAAATTATAGATACACTTGTTTTTTTATATTATTTGAAAAATGATTGAGTTATTGTTGATTTGAATTAAATAGCTTGATAAGGATTAAGATAATGAATAGATTGATGTATAAAAATTATGAAAAAATTATTTGAAAATTGCGCAATTTTAATTATTCGAAAATCCAGGGTTGCAAAATTATAAATACACTTTATAAAATTGGATTTAATAGTGAGTTTGGGCTCCATTTAGAGTTGCAACTTCGAAAAGCCGATTGTTCATGCTTTCGATGAGTTTTTGCAATAATTCTGGTTCAAGATTATACCATGCATTTTCGATCGCAGTCCATAATTCAGCCACTGAACTGTATTGCTTATTAGCAGGGTAAACTTTTCTAACCATTGCTGCCCACAGGTTTTCAATCGGGTTTAAATCTGGGCTACAGGCAGGCCAATCGAGTGTTTTGATTGCATTTTCATTAAAAAACTTTTTCGTGTAGTTTGATACGTGAATTCGAGCATTATCTTGCTGAAAAATCCATTCACTCCCAGCATTATTCTTAGCATTTGGCAGTAGATTATCTTTGAGCACAGCGACATAATTTTCTGAATTCATTGATGAGGTAATTCTTGCAATAGGCAAAACACCATTAAAACTGAAAGCACCCCAAACCATGACAGTTCCGCCACCGAAATTCCGCTTTGAAAAGATTCTTTTATCGTCCCCTATTTTATGCCAATAGCAAGTCGAACCATCAGGTCCATCGAGATTGAACTTTTTTTCATCAGAAAAAATCACAGATAACCACTCATTGTTCCATGTTATGTACTTTTTAGCAAAATCCAATCTTTTTACCTTATGCAATTCCGTTAATCGAGGTTTAACAGTCATTGAGCAATATTCATAAAGGTTAGTTGAATTTATTGTCCGCAAAACAGTCCATTTTGACACAGGTAATTGCAATTCCGATAAAATTTTCCTTGCAGATGAACCAGGCTGTTCCACTTGTTTCATAATTGCTCTTTTGTCCCGATCAGATAGAGATGAACGTCGACCAGATCGAATATTTTCACCATAATTCTCCCCCAATTTAAGATAATGTTGCACAACGGTATGACTTCTTCCTATTTCAGCAGCAATTTTCCTTAAAGATAGTCCCTGTTTATGAAGAGCATCGATTTGGCCTTTTTCATAAGCATTTAATTCACATCCACGAGGCATAATTAAACTTTAATTGCTACACTAATTAAAAACACAAAAACACGAAAAATCTGCAACTTGCAATGAAAAAATACTAAAACAAAGTTCAGATTCTGAATGAACGCAAAAAACTGACCTAAAAACTCTGTTTCTGTCCCTAAAATGCATTTGGTTCTCACAATTAGTTAATTAAAAACATCTGTATTTATAATTCTGCTCCTTAGCAAAAGCCGCATTTAATCCAATTGTAAAAATTCTAATCATTCTAACTTCTAGATTTAGCCCAAAACTTAAGATTAACCCTTTCTCACACAGATTAACATAATCCCATTGAAAAAAGAGAAGAAAGTTTGCCACAATTAACTTATTTTATTGAAATTTAGGTGTATCTATAATTTTGCAACTGA